AATTTAAAATAATGAGTTAAACCTATATAGAGACAGGAAAAGATATGTGAGATATATGTTGAAAAAGGATATGAAAAAAGTGACAGTATAATTTTTTTTTTAAAATGTGTGTATATTGGGCCTCCCCGGTGGCGCAGCGGTTGAGCGCTGGGTTGCGAAGCTGCGCGCGGCCTCTGCGGCGCCGGTTCGATCCCCGGCTGCTCCCCGGCCACCGGAGGAGGGTCCCACATGGCGCGCAGACCTCTCCTGCCGCCCGCTGCTCCCCTCAGCAGTGTACTTCGGTCCTTCTGCCTGCTCTGCTCCCCGCTCTGGCTCTGGTGAATTCTCTCGCCCTCCCGCGCTTCTGACTGTACCCAGTGCATGTATAAACAAAACAAACAAAGAAACCAGCAAACAAATAAATAAAGCATGCCTCTATAAAAAAAAAAAAAAAAAAAAAAAAAAAAATGTGTGTATATTGAAGCAAAAAATCAGCTGCATAATGGTTTGATTAATTTTTAGGAAAAAATAAGTCAGTATTTATGCTTTAAAAAAGAAATCCAGATACACGTAAGTCAGATTATTTTTGTTTTCTTTTTTTTTTTTTAAGATTTATTTATTTATTTATTTATACAAGCACTGGGTACAGTCAGAAGTGCGGGAGGGTGAGAGAATTCGCCAGAGCCAGAGCGAGGAGCAGAGCAGGCAGAAGGACCGAAGTACACTGCTGAGGGGAGCAGCAGGCGGCAGGAGAGGTCTGCACACTGTGTGGGACCCTCCTCCGGTGGCCAGGAGCAGCCAGGGATCGAACCGGCGCTGCAGAGGCTGCAGGCAGCTTCGCAACCCAGCACTCAACCGCTGCGCCACCGGGGAGGCCCTATTTTTGTTTTCTTTATACTTTTATTCTCCAACTTTAAAATATATTATTGTCTGTGAGATAACTTCAATGTTTGCTTTTATGTACTCTGAACTTGTGCTTTCATAGCAGAAAACAAAGCAAACCACCCCTTCAGTTTTTAACCTTTCATATACTTCTTCATATAAAGTCAAGTTTGGGTAACAGATACTGTGTGTTGTGTTTTGCTTTTAGTTTGTTTAGGAGTTAGAAAATATCTTTAAATAAAAACTGAAATGTGTTTTTGAAAGACATTTTGGCTATTTGTATAATTTAGATATGTGTATATCTGATTTATATATTTGTACGTGTATATATATATGATCAAGTTAATAAGTTATTTAGTGTCTGCTCTGTGTAATGTGATATGATAGGTAGAATGTGAAGGATATGATTTCTTTTATATAGTAATTACCAGCTTATGCTGGGTAGCAGAAATTCCAGAGTAGCATTTAGTAAAGGAGATAAAATAAATAATCTGTAATTATCTGTTTTAAATACATTTTCTTTAAATGGAAATGATTTTCTTATATTTTGAGGATGAAATTTTATTTTAGTGTCTTATTAGAAATTGAAAAACAAGAATGGTTTTGCTTTAAAGTCAAATTAGAAAGGACGTTTGCATAAGGAAAAATAAGGTGGCATAAGGAAAAATTTTTAATGGTTAAATAGCAAAGATTTTTAAAATATGAAATCCTAAAGTATTGTTTCCTAATAAGCATGCCATGTTTGATTACTATCTGAATGTCACTTAGGTTATCAAGCAGTAAAAATATGGATATATATTTGCTGTTAAAAAAAGTATTTCCTTGACATACTAAGTTGATATTTTCTATGATATGTTTAACTTACCTCTTACCGTTTGCTAAGTGACTATCAAGATACATTTTAACTTAAAGTTTCAGGGCTCTAAAACTAACTTAGATGTATTATCTCCTATCTATAAAATATCCCAGAAATTTAATAGAAAGGACTTGGTTTAAGTATTAAACTGTTTTCTTCTGAAGGTGAGGCTCTCTTTTTTATGATAGAGATTCCACTTTGATTGCTGCATTTTCTTTGCTTCCTCCTGAAGAAGCTCTCAGTGAGCTTGCAAAGCACACATGGAGTCATGTCAGAGGTCAGCTACTTGAGTCCATTTTCCCACAGCTGCCTGGTGCGAGTGATATTTTACTGTGTTTTAAAAAATGGTCAAGGATTAGAGAGAATTAGAAAGAATATTACCTTCCTGAATATAGGCCCAGGGCACTAAAGAGAGAAAACCCATCCAGGCAGCAAATAGGCTTTGCTTGACCAGGACACAACCTCTCCTGCATTCCTCTAAGAAGCTGAATGGGAAATGTTAAGTCCCCAAACTGGATTAGTAAATAATCTCATAGCTTGTGACATCTGCTAAAATAAATCGATAAGCAGACTACATTTTTATACTTTGAGGAGAGCAGGGAAATCAAGAGTAATTCTTTTTTTTTTTTTTTTTTGTATTGAGACAAGAGTAAGAGTAATTAAAGAGATTATGCTTAGTAAGTAGCTGGTAGGCACATTTCATAGTAAAAAAGGTAAACATTTATTTGAGGTAATGTTTAGATATGATGCATACATATATATTGGCTAATAATCTAAGGCATAAATTTTGAAACTACTACAACTTTTTTTTTTTTTTAATTTTCCCTATTGCAGCAGTTATACTTTTTCAGAAGTTCAGACTTTATGTTGTTTATCTCATTAGCTTATGTAAAAACCTGAGGAACTCAGAATTTGAAATGAAAGAATGTATCTTTTGAGACACTCTGAAATGTCTTTTGTATATTTCATAACAGAAATTAATGTGTTTTGGATCTTATGACACATAATTTGGTTTCAAGTTATTTAGAACCAAAGAGGTTATTTCATATCTATTTCCACAAAGGAAGTGTATTCTGGCCTCAGTCTTTAGAACAAAGCGTTTAGCTAAATTAATACTTTTTTAAAGATTTTGTTTTCAGTTGATCACTTTAATGCAAAGATCATATCTAAGTGGTTAATTTTGCATCTTCATGTAATCAGTATATTTGATTAGTGCAATAACTGATTGTATTGATTTTCTATGGGTTTTTAATATTAATGGAGGTATTTTCTTCAAGAGTTTAAGTTAAAATTTAATTTAATATTTGAATAAGAATTGATAGCCTATAACTTCTTGAACAGGCACATTCTCTAATTCCATCAGTGCATCTTGCACTTCCACTGTCTCTTAACACAGGCACTTAACTCAGTGCCTTTTTCAAGGTTAGCCTTATGCTTTCACTATGTCCTCCTTTCTTCTCTCCACCACACCCCCTAATCTGTTCATCCATATTCCACCCATCTTTACCTAGCAGGTCAAATTACAAATTCTAGCATGGTTTATTATCAGCCCTTAAATCATAATTAATACCTCCTAAACACAAAGTTACCATTAGACCTAGCAGATCCACTCCTAGGTATATACACAAGAAAGATGAAAACATCTGGTAACATAAAAATTTGAACATGAATATTTATCGTACCATTATTCATAATAGCCAGAAGGTAAAAACAACCAAATTGATGAATGGCTAAACAAATGGGAGATATCCATGCAATGTGGTATGACTCAGCCACAGAAAGGAACAAGGTACTAATATATGTTGCAACATGGATATACATGGAAAACATTATGTTAAATGAAAAAGAATATATTATGTGATCTTACTTATGTGAGCTAGCCACAATAAGCAAATCTATAGAAATAGAATGCAGATTTGTGGTTGTTGAGGGTTTAGGAGGATTGGGGAAGTAGAGCATAATAACTAAAAGGTACAAGGTTTATTTTTTTGAGATGATAAAAATGTTCTAAAATTGACTGTGGTGATGGTTGCGTGTATCTGTGAATATACGAACAGCCATTGAATTGTTAACTTTAAATAGGTGAATTTTAAAGTATGTAAATTATCTCTCAATGAAGTTGTTATAAAAGAACTAAATAGAAAAAATTAGCACCAGAGACAGAGTGGGGAGCAGAACAAGTGGATCTAGTGAAATACACTGCTGAGGGGAGCGCAGGAAAGGCAAGAGAGGTCTGCTGTGCCATGAAAGAAAGCTCCCTGACTGGGCATGGAACTCATGCTGCAGTGGCTGCTGATGGCTTCATAGTGCTGAGACTTAATCCCTTGTGCCACCAGCGAGGCCCCTGTATTCTTATATACATTTTTTTTTAAACATTTATTTATTTATTTATACAAGCACTGGGTACAGTCAGAAGCATGGGAGGGTGAGAGAATTCACCAGAGCCAGAGCGGGGAGCAGAGCAGGCAGAAGGACCGAAGTACACCGCTGAGGGGAGCAGCGGGCAGCAGGAGAGGTCTGCGCACCATGTGGGACCCTCCTCCAGTGGCCAGGGAGCAGCCGGGGATCGAACCGGTGCTGCAGAGGCTGCGGCCAGCTTTGCAAACCAGCGCTCAACCGCTGCGCCACCAGGGAAGCCCTTATATACATTTTTTTATACTTCTAATAAAGCACTCACCACACTCTGCTTATAATTATTTACTTAATAATTATAATAATTATAATTATTTACTTAATAATTATTTACTTATCATATTACATTAGACTGCTCCAGATAGAATGGTTTTTCGTATTTCCTAATAAGCATAGTGCTTTGCACTTAGTAAAATGTTTATTTAATTGAATTTAACAATTAAGTTCCGTAATCTATAAAATCGGAATAAAGGCGGGGAAAAGAATTGAATGTTGCTACAAAGCATTGTTTCAAATTGCATTTGAAATACAATTTTTGTATTTCAAATATTGTATTTGAAATACAAATTTTTTTGGAAAAAGAAATATTTGCTCTCACACTATTTCCTCAGCTTGAGTTTTTGTTTTGTAATTAGCAAACTCATGCATAAGCCATTCATTATCCTGTTTTTACCTTCAGGAATATTCTGATCTTTGGAATTTGCATATATAAAATATAAAATCAGTGGGACCTTCATATCATTGAACTAGCTTAATATTTGCTTTTAAAATCAAATTAACTTTGTAGCATTTTAAATCTGCATTTTTGTGTGCATTTGATTTTAACATAATTTTTTTGTGATGTGTCTATGTGTGTGTGTTATTTTTCCAGTACTTACTAGAGATGAAAAGTCTAATTTTGCCTCCAGAACACATTCTGAAACGGGGTGATAGTGAAGCAATTGCCTATGCTTTCTTTCATCTTCAGCACTGGAAGCGAATAGAGGGTGCTCTTAATCTATTACAGTGTACATGGGAAGGCAGTAAGTATTATTCTCCAAATGTAACACTAATCTAGCTGACTATTCATTGCATTCATAGGCAGCCTTTTTATTTTTATTTATTTATTTTTTAAAGATTTATTTATTTATGCATACAAGAGCTGGTGTACAGGCCAGAGATGCGGGGTGGGGCAGCGGTGGTGAGAGGATCCACCAGAGACAGAGCGAGGAACAGAGCAGGCAGACCAACCGAAATACACTGCTGAGAGGAGCAGTGGGCGAGACAGGAGAGGTCTGCCTCGCCACGTGGGTTTCTCCCTGACCGACCAGGGATCGAACTCATGCTGCAGAGGCTGCGGATTGCTTCATAGTGCGGTGCTTAACCCCTTGCGCCACCAGGGAGGCCCATAGGCAGCCTTTGAGATTATCTGAGCTTCTGTAGGGATTTGTTGTTCAAATTGGTCTCAGAATGAACTCAGTAGTATTACATTTGGCTTGTGGGTAGAAGAAATACCTTAATATAATTTTATTGATCCCACGTTTAGAAAAAACAGAATGAGAAACTGTTAAGGTATCCTGCTATATGTTCATTTAAGTTACATATTGGCAAGGGAAGAAAATAAAGAATTACATCCTTTGGCTTTTAAGCTATTTAATGTGGTTGATTAGTTATTCTAATATTTTTTAATTGTACTGATTATTATTTTTCAGAAGTGTACATGAAACTGTTTCCTCACAACTAATATCAATTCTATTCTTTTATAAAAATCTCTTTAAAATTGTGATAAAATATATCTATCATAAAAAATGACCATTTTAATCAAAAATTGTGAATGTTCTGTTAAATGGCATTTAACAGAACCACCAGTGTGGTGGTTCTGACACTGCAACTACCAGTGTCATCCATTCCTGGAATTTTTTCATAATCCCAACTGAAGTTATATACCCATAAACAATAAATCTACCTTCTTCCCTCCTCCCCAACCCTAGTGACCAATTTACTTGATTTTCCTGTAGCAGCTGTACCATTTCACATTCCCACTAGCAGTGTGCCAGCACTTATTTTCTGTGTGTGGTTTTTTTTTTTTTTAAATAACCATCCTAATGGGTGTGACTTTTGATTTGTGCTTTTGATTTGCATTTCCCTACTAATTAGTGATGTTGAATATATTTTTATGTGCTAATTAGCCATTTGTGTATCTTGTTTGGAGAATTGGGCTTTTTTAAAACTGTGTGGTCATTTATTTGTAACTTCTTTAAATCACCAATAAAATGAAGAAACAAAGTATTTTATCAATTGAATTTTTATAATACTTTCCTTGGAAAGTATTCCATGATCAGTAAAAATTAAAAAATAAATTTATTGTGCATTCACTAAAACTAATTAACTTCCTCAGTTCCAAACTTTGCACAGAGACACCCTTAGGGCTTGGCCACAAACTCATAAGAATGCCACGGAATGTTGTAGATACTCAGTGGAAACACAGCAACATGCAGCATCTGTCAGACACTATTCAAGCTGTTAGCTCTAGATAGTTCATGGTTTTAACATTAGGTGGCTCTCCATTCTGTTTCTTTTAATGTTGCCATGTTTTTGAAAGTTTGATTTGTGTTAGTTGCTACAATTAAAGCAAGTGCCGCACAAAAATCAGCGTGGAACAGGAAATGATGGTCGTATCCAATCTAATCAAAGGTTTGAGTGATTGTGCAGTGCCTAAAAGGTTCATATATCCCAATAGTAAGAAATGATGGTTATTTGAAAAAGTGATCATGATTTTATTGTTTCAATTTTTGTGTTTTGTTGTTTTTTTTTTTTTTTTCAAAATCGCTGCTAAGTTGTTGGAGCACGAACATTTAAAGTTGTTTGAATCCATTGCTTAATAAGTGGAATTGTTTTTCTTTCAGCCTAGAAACACTAAAAAAATTGCTGAGAAATGAAGGGTACCATGTGTCCTTGAACCAGGAAAATGTGGGAGCCTCTGCATTAGTTGTTTGATAAGGGCCAAATTCTCTGCTTCATACTAGCAATACAGAGATTAATGAAACTAGTACTACAAAGACTGAGAGCTGAATGTCTTTGGATAATCAGATTTTCTTCTGCTTTTTTCCCCCCATTAGTCTATAAGCTCCTTAAAGAGAGGCGCTTTATCTCACTCACCTGTATGTGCCTTCAGTGCCTAAGGGTTCTGTTTGGCACATAGATTTTTAACAAGTGTATGAATTATCCTGATTTCATGAATAATCATCTTGATGAGTGATTTCCTAATGTTATCGCTGATTTGCTCTCTAACTTTGTACAAATTACTGCTTTTTACTGTGGCAAGACAAAATCTGTATTTTGCAACACTTTAAAGGGCCAAACACTAAAACAAACAAAAAAAGACATACAATTTTGATGCGTAACTATCTAATTGGGTAGATCAATAAGGACTCCTTCTTTAAGAAGTCTGTTAGAGTTGATGATAATCTAGATCAGGATGGTAAACATTTTAAACAAGACTCTTGTCAAAATTGGAATTAATACTTGGAGAGTTTATTGTTTGTAATGAGGAGACTGAAGCCAGTAGAACCCAGCTAGTCTTACCAACCACTATTCCTACAGTTTTATTCTAGCCAGACCATTCACTACTCTCTAAATCTGATTCTTCTCTTTACTTATTCCATTGCTTATTATGTTTCTTTCATCTAAATATCTACCTAAAAAAGAAAACAAAATGCTGTGTGAAATTTTTATAACAATGTCTCCATAGTTAGGTTTGAATTGTAGTATAGGCTGGAAACGAGACTGAATTGAATGCCAACATGTATTTTTTTTCTCAGCTTTCAGAATGATTCCGTACCCGTTAGAGAAAGGCCATCTATTTTACCCTTATCCCAGCTGCACAGAGACGGCTGATAGAGAACTGTTACCTAGTAAGTAAATATTCTAGTGTTCTTAAGCTTAAAAAGTAATGTGAAATTGTTTTTCGTAGTATTCTTCCATTTGTTTGAGGCTTAGGATACTGTTTAAATATTATTTTATTTTATTGTGAGGGGAAGTTCCTAAAGAGAAAAAGATACTGTTTTAGCCGTTTATGGAATGTAGTTGCATAATTCAATTCATTTCTAAGTATTTTTTAAGCAAATCCTTGTACTGGAGGAAATGAAGGACACAAAGATTAAAGATACTAAAAAGAGCAATCATCTCACAAACATTTAAAGAAGAAATAATACTAATCCTATACAAACTCTCTTCAGAAAACAAAGGGGAAGAAACATTCCCCAGCTCATTTAGTGAGATCATTATTACCCTGATGCCAAAACAGACAAAGACATTACAAGAAAAGAAGACTCTAACATAGTGTCCCTTATGAACATAAGGAAAGTCCTAAGGAAGACCTGGTCAGTGCTGCATCCAGCTAAAGAGGTTGAAGTAGTTCTGGAAACATCTTTGGTAGTCACAGAGGTGGTTTTGGTGGAAACGACAACTTTGATTATGGAGGAAATTCAGTGGTCAAGGTGGCTTAGGTGGTCTTCATGGTGGTAGTGGATATGGTGGCAGTGGGGATGGCTGTAATGGATTTGGGTAGTGATGGAAGAAATTTTGGAGGTGGTGGAACCTACAGTGATTTTGGGAATTGCAACAATCAATTCTTCAAATTTTGGACCCATGAAAGGAGAAAACTTTGGAGGCTGAAGCTCTGGCGTAGGTGGTGGAAGCCAATACTTTGCCAAACCACAAAACCAAACTGGCTGTGGTGGTTCCAGCATGAACTGCCATAGCTACGACAGTGGCAGAGGGTTTTAATTAACTGCCAGGAAACAGAGCTTAGCGGGAGAGGAGAGCCAGAGAAGTGACAGGAAAGCTACAGGTCATAACAGATTTGAGAGCTCACCCCAGCACAATGGTGGCAGGGCCTCTTTGCTCCAAAGAAGACACATTGTAGACAATACTTAATACTCTGTTTAAGAAACACAGGTTTAGTTTTTGTTTTGTGGAAAGTGTAAAGCATTTAACAGTGGGTTTTATTTTTTTTTAAGTTTTTTTTTTTTTTTGTGAGGGGGGCCTTCCCGGTGGCACAGTGGGTTGAACACAGCGCCGTGAAGCTGTCCACAGCCTCTGCAGCGTCAGTTCGATTCCCAGCCGGCCAGGGAGAGCCCTACATGGTGCAGCAGACCTTTCCTGTTGTGCCCGCTGCTCCCCTCAGCAGTGTATTTCGGTTGTCTGCCTGTTCTGCTCCCCGCTCTGTCTCTGGTGAATCTTCTCACCCTCCCGCACCTCTGGCCTGTACCCCAGCTCTTGTATAAAAATAAATAAATCTTTTTTTAAAAAAAGTTTTGGTTTTTTTTAAGATTTATTTATTTAAATACAAGAACTAGGTGCCTCCCTGGTGGCGCAAGGGGTTAAGCACTGCACTATGAAGCAAACCGAAGCCTCTGCAGCACAAATTTGATCCCTGACCTGCCAGGGAGCAACTCACATGGCACAGCAGACCTCTCCTGTCTCTCCTGTTGCTCCCCTTAGCAGTGTATTTCAGTCAGTCTGCCTGTTCTGCTCCCCACTCTGTCTCTGGTGAATCCTCTCACCCCCCTGCATCTCTGGCCTGTACCCCAGCTCTTGTATGCATAAATAAATAAATCTTAAAAAAAAAATAGAAGAACTGGGGTACAGTCAAAGGCACAGGAGGGTGAGAGAATTCACCAGAGACAGAGTGGGGAGCAGAACAGGCAGACAGACCGAAGACACCGCTGAGGGGAGCAGTAGGCAAGGCAGGAGAGGTCTGCCGCGCCATGTGGTTCCTCCCTGGCCGGCCGGGAATCCAACCCATGCTGCAGAGGCTGCGGACAGCTTCACAGTGCGGCACTCAACCTGCTGTGCCACCGGGGAGGCCCTCAACAGTGGGTTTTAATGTAGATTTTTTGCGCCAATGCTGTTGGTTGCTAGATGTGAAGTCTGCTCATGTGGCTGAATAAATGTACTTTTTTTTTTTTAAAGAAAGTTTAAGATTTGTATACCACAAGCTACAAAATATTGCTGAGAGAAACTAAAGAAAATATAGAGAGCTATTCCATGTTTATGGATCAGAAAGCCTAATATTTATTTATACAATCATGCAAAGCCTAACAGCAAGGATGCCTTCTGAGAAATGTGTCATAAGGCATCATCATTGTGCAAGCACCATAAAGTGTAATTACACAATCCGCGGTGGTATAGTCTGTTGGAACCACTGTCATGTATGTGTTTCTTCACTGACCAAAATATCACTAAGCAAAGCATGATAGTGTAACAGTTATCTCCAAATTGACCTATAGGTTCAGTACAATCCATATGAAAATCCTGGTAGGGATTTTGCAAAATTGAACAAGTAAATCCCAGTTTTTACATGGAAAGCTAAAGGACACAGAATAAAAAGTCAAAACAGTCTTTATACCAAAGAACAAAGTTGAAGGAGTTACATTTCCTAACTTTAAAAAGAGCAGTGAGGGTCTCCCTGGTGGTGCAGGGATATTTAAGGTCTCAGCTATCAAGCTGTTATCGGCCACTGCAGCATGAGTTCGGTCTCCGGCCAGGGAGCTGTCCACATGGCGCAGCAGACCTCTCCTGTCTCGCCCGCTGCTCCCCTCAGCAGTATATTTCAGTTCTGCTCCCCACTCTGTCTCTGGTAAATCCTCTCATCCCCTGCACCGTCCCTCTGGCCTAGACCCCAGTTCTTGTATGCATAAATAAATTTTAAAAAAAAAGAGCAGTGAAAAAGTTAGAGAAGTACCAGAAATATGTAGGGTTATAATGGCCACGGGTGTTTCCATCTAGTTCCTCCTGCTTTTAGGAAGCCAAACTTCTCAAAACTACAGTCTCTTCTTTTTTGACTCTACTGTCTTATTAGTCACTCACTCTTCTCTATGAACTGGTAAACTTATAAACTTCTGTTTTACTTTTCTTTTTACGATTTAATCACTAAGAAAGCATGCCGATAGTTACACATTTCCTTATATATACCATAGATTTTTTTTCCAATTCTGGAGTCATTACCATTTGAATGCAAGTCTAAGATGGAAGCAATTTTAGAACCATCAAATTATGAGCCATCCTGTTCAGAAAGATAAATGAAAATTTAGAAGAGATTATGAAAGTTAGGTATACTGGTATTTTTCCTAGAGCCTTTTATTTTCCTCCATTCTCTGGGATAAATTACCTCTTCTTTCTTTGAACTTTCAAAATGTTTTGAGTACTTCTACTCTCCCGTTTTACTTTGTGTACTTGAAGGCCAGGATTATCTTTATTGTCCCTGTATCGTTATAATATTTACCATAAAAATTGATACCCAATAAATATTTATTTGAATTAGTCAAGTTTATTTATTTATTCTTATAAACATGCCAGGCACATTGGAAGTACTCAACAAAAATGATACATTAGTACCTTTACCTCCTTACCCTACTCTGAACTCCTAAGTGCTAATAGGTTAATAGACTAATAAACATTGTGTTAAATGCTGTATGTATGGAATAGATTATAAGGCAGCTGGGTCGGGGATGTGCCTATCTCTCCAAGGTCAGGGATGATTCCAGATCTAACTTGGATTACTTGAATAACGGTAAATCCATCATGCAGTAGAGAGGAATATGTTTGGAAATAGGAGTGGGGGGAGAGTAGTAAGTTCATGCTCTGAGTATATTGCATGTATAACATGCAAGTCCTGTGCACACAATTCATGTGCATGTATCTATATATCTATAACTGTATGTCCATATAGACACTTAAATATTTTATTATCTATTTCATACCTACACATACATAATCTTTATGTACATAGTCTTGATATATAAAAATATATAGGACGAAGATATATTTGTAAGTAATATATGCTTTATATATACCATAAAATAGATAAATAGTAAATGTTGTAAGCACTTCATACATATTTAAACATAAATGGGAATTTGTTGGAAGAAGACTGGATTACTTCAGAAAACCCATAGGCAAAAATTACATTTGGACCTTGTAAGGGACTGGTACCAGGAACTAGGAAACCATCAGGAACAGACTTCTTGCTTTCTGGCAGGTCTTTATTAATTCTTACTCCATATAAGGTGCAAGGAGGTAGGAGAGGAGGGATATGCTGGGGAGTTTTGTTTGATTATATGTATGTTCTTAGAGTATTTTATGTCTCTGACTATGGGAAAATGAACAAATTTTTAATTTTGTAGAGTTCTAATTCCCAGGAGTACTTAATGTTTTTTTGTTTTCAATTTTCCTTTAGCCTTGATATAACTCAACATGTTCTGGAATTTACTTATGGATTTTATAAGTTCAGACTTGAACTATTCCCCTAATTCACATGCTATTTAGTTGTCTTTTATGACTCCTGATAAGTTTTTCTCTACAAGCCAATGATGAAATTTGAACTTTACTTCCAAGGGAGTGTTTCTCTACTAGTCATCCATTATACTGATGTATTAGCCAAACATTGACTGACAAATGAATCTACAAAAAGCTATCCAAAAAGAAATAGTTAGGTCTATCCACCAGTATAAAAATCTCATATGAAGTGGGAATTATACTGTCTCTTTTGGTTATTAAAAACAAACCAACCAGTATAAATTAAAGTCTTTTGTAAACCATAAAATATTACACAGTTTAATTAACATTTTTAATTTTGGATCTCTCCAGTGGTAGCAGCTAGAATAACCATTAGCATTGTTCCCCGTCTTTGCAAAGACCTTGATTTGTTTCTCTTGATTTGCTGGGAGAAGTTGGCCTCTCATGCTCATGAACGGGGCAAAGAAGACTTATTTCTTTGGGTGCTGAAAGCCCAGTGTTGTCTACAGCTACTAATGTTTCTAACTTAAAAAAAAAAATGCTGTGTTTTCAAAAATTATATGGATTGTTAATGAGTTTGGTTTTTGCTATGTATTTTCTGAACATAGTATAAGACATAACAATATTATGTTATGTTACTGAAGGAAACTTAGATGTAATCTTCTCTGTGAATCACTGTGTCTAGAAAAGTAAAATTTATAGCTGACCTTGATTCAGCACAGAATTAGTCATCCTTTACTTATGCAGGATATTATATCAGGAATTCCTGGATTTGTGTCCAGCCCTGAGTGGTCAGCTTCCTGGACTAAGTAAAGTCCCAGAATAGCTCTCAGTTTAAGAGACATTTATTGAGCACCTACTGTCTGCCAAACATTGAAATAGGCACATCTCAGCATTGCTATTCAAATATTTTCAAATTTCAAAGAAGATAGAAATATTTGAATGCTATTGGTGAAGAAATATTTAATCATTAGAAAAAGAATACCTGTGTAAATATGTGAAAGCAGTGAAAGAAGACAAGGGACTTTATGTTCTTAACCCCAGGACTTTGGTGTTTAGTTCTGTTTTACAGTGCTCAGTGAAATGCCACCTATAGAACACTCACTAATAACTGGGTAAAATTATTAACTGATGGTTCTGGGAAATCTCCAATCACATGTGTGTTTCTTACTTGTCTTACTAGTCTGCTATACTCATCTCTGAGCTACCAGAGAGCAAGAATTATAACAACTCACATTTATTAAAGGCTTTCAATGTTCATCATAACAGCTCCATAGCAACTACCAGAGGATTAACACTTATTAGATCACACAGCTAGTAAGAAACAAAGCTCTTTTTCAGAACCACCTCAGCATGACTTTACAATTACTGCTTTTTCCCACGATGCCATCCTACTCCCAGCCCTCAGCACAATCATCTGGCTATGTAGATAAGTTATTAATGTGAGCATAAATAATGGGTAACTTTCTTCTACCTTGCCTGGCTAGCGACCTCTTGTTCTTTTTTTAAAAAAAATTTCCTTTTTTAAAAAATAGATTTTGTTTGAAAATATTAAAACTGGCTTAACACACTATTGCAAAATAAAAATCCATTTTGACCTTTTCTCCCTTGCAGCTTTTCATCATGTTTCTGTTTACCCAAAGAAGGAGCTTCCTTTTTTCATCCATTTCACAGCAGGATTGTGTTCTTCTACAGCAATGATAGCCCTTCTCACACACCAGTTTCCTGAAATCATGGGTGTTTTAGCTAAAGCTGTAAGTATGATCTCACGGACTTGTATAGAGTATCTATAAAACACACAAGAAACCATCTCTGATCCGTTAGTGCTAAAGCTGTTGAGTGATGGAAGATATTTGTTACAGTAAATTACAGGAATTGATTTGTAAAGTTGCTACCATAAATATGTCAAACGTCAGTTTTTGGTGATTTGAACTATATTTTTGTTGCTTAAAAATTTCAAGTATACAATGTCATAACATTGCAAAGTTGTCTTTGTGATCACTTTTGGTGGTCAATGCGGCACTTGTTACCAACTCAAGAATAATCTAATTCCTTTAAACCCATTTTCTTGGGCATTTAAAAAATCCATATTTTATGAATAAACCTTTTGCTTTTCCTATTTAAATGAAATCATTAGTTCTAAGGAGTTGCTGAACTTAAATTCAAGAGTGCAACTAGGATGGAGAACAGGTAGGTAAGAGGGGCAGGTGGGACATCTTTATCCAAAGGTTCTCCTTGAAGAGAGAGCCCAAGGATCAACCTTTATTTTCATTTTTACCCTTGTGTCTTGACCCGCTTCTGCATTTCCTGACTCAGTCTAGGAAGTTCTTGAAGACTGTTATTAGAGAGAATATTCCATGATTATTTACTCTTTTACATAGTTTATTAATTAATGAGATTCGCTCACAGTAAAATTACCAAAGATTAGTCCCTGTAAGTCTCCACACCTTCTTTTTTAAAGATTTATTTTTATTTATGCATACAAGAACTGGAGTGCAGGCCAGAGGTGCGGGGGGTGAGAGGATTCACCAGAGACAAAGTGGGGAGCAGAACAGGCGAATCTACTGAAATACACTGCTGAGGGGAGCAGCAGGTGAGATAGGAGAGGTCTGCTGTGCCATGTGGGTCAGCTTCCTGGGTGGGCAGGGATCGAACTTGTTGCAGTGGCTGGCAGTAGCTTGATAGTGCTGAGACTTAACCCCTTGCGCCACCAGGGAGACCCATTCTCCATACCTTTTTAAAATGTCTTTCTTGTATGTCTTCACATTTTTACCAGGTAATAAGAGTTCAAACCCTGAAAGAAAATGTTTCAATATATTCTTACATAAAAAAGCACTGAGAACCACAGAAAAACTAGCTTTTACTTTGTTATATATTTTCTATATTTTTCTCCATATTCCTCCATTCTAATCTCCTGCCTTAAGAATACTTTATTTTGTGCCTTAAAGATTAGTTGATTTTCTTCTGACACTAATGGTGAGAACACTGGTTTCCCTTACCCTCGAAGGTTAACTGTAGAATGCATTAAGTTGACACTGGCCTAGAATCTGAGTCTACACTTGTGTCTAGGTCAAACTTCAAGAAGAATGACTTTCCGTTGTTGTTGAAGGAATATAGAGATACTTGGGTGGGAAACTGACAGTTATATTTCTTTTGAAAGAGGTTAGTATTAAAATAAATAAATAAATAAATAAAAAAATAGCAAATAAATAAATAAATAAAAATAGTAAAAAAAAAAAAAAAAAAAGAGGTTAGTATTTGTGATCATACCATAATCTGTTGTTTGCAGTGGTGCTGATTGGGAAGTGAGTGAATTGCAAACTGGAATGACTTTACTGTGTTAGCTAGCATGAAAATATGGACTAAAAAGGGAATCTCATCTATTTAACTGCTGGAAAAAAGTATACAACTGCGTAATTGAGGTCAGAGACAAGCAGTGGGAGAGATGGTCCTTGGGTTTCTCCCAGGGTAGCAGGAGGGAGGTAAAATTGAGTGAGGAGGAAGGTCTAGGATCGAGAATAGATGTGTAGCAATTGTTAATAATGTACTTCCATGTGGTACTGACTAAATTAATGTGGACGTATGTACTCAATAGTCTGCTCTATCCATCAGTATTAGTATTATACTAAGAGATTGTTGATATACCAGAGAACCTTTAAGATTACATAGCACAAGCTCCGTAGTACTCCTCTAGCAGAGTCTAAGAATGAATCACATATTTTAAAGACAAAGCTTCTTTTTCAGATCAGAAATTATTTACTGTGATTCTAGTTGATGAACAATAAGCGGGTATTATCTTTTGGTGTTTGTATGATTGGTGGTATATAGAGTTAAAAATGTGCCTAATAACATCCTTTTACAGTCACATTTTTTGTCTGTGGCCTTTACATGTTCATTTTAAGTTCCTAAAAGGTAAGTATTTACTGGAAGTACCTGTAAACCAAAATTTGGGTGCAGCAGTTCCAAGAGCAGGTTCCTTTAAGAATTATGGTATGGGAAGTCTCCAGTTTATAAACATGACATATAAATACATTGACAGCCAGCCCAGTAAGGGCACCAGAAGCTCTACTTCTTCACCACTTCTAGTGTCATTTCTGCTCTAGAACCATCACCATTGCCTAGGAGCTTGTTAGAAATGCAGAACCTCAGGTGCCACTCTGAACCTGTTGAATCTGCATTTAACAAGAGCCCAAGCTGATCATACATGCACATTTAAAAGTTGAGAAGCCCTGCTCTGGCTCCAGTGTGAGGAATTCAGAATCCTTACATATATTGCCTTATCAAGGTGGAGCCAGATGGCCTTGCAGAGTAGCTCTGTGCATAGACTTGAGCCAGACTGCTCTTCTTTGAATTCCAGCCCTGACTCTTACTGTCTGTGCAATCTTAGTAAGTTTCTTAGCCTTTTCTCCCTTTGATTGTAAAATGAGAATAGTTCCACCTCATAGGTTTTTGTGAGGGTTAAATGAATTTAAATTGTCAAGTCTGTCCATCGTGAGCACTAGGTGAGTGTTTGCTGTGTTCTCATCATTATCACCAAAATGTAACTATGGAGAGAAGCCTGCCCTTTATGTTTGGAGGAGCTTTATGTTTGGAGGAGCTACATCCTCATAGTAATGTTTATGTTTGGAGGAGCTACATCCTCATAGTAAATTCAAAATGCATTTTCCTATAGAAACTGATGGGTAGGTATAATTTAAACAATAATATTAGTACTGTACTTCTGTTACATTATGTGGATGTGAGTACAGGGAGTGGAGAAATGTTTCATACTCTAGGCACTGGCAAGTTGCCTGATAGAACAGAACCTGTTGGTAAGTTGCAAACTGACTACGTTAGGACTTTCCATGAAGTCAGATTTTGATGGCCAAATGCAGTAGAAATCAGTGAAGATCTTTGTGTTATATTTGTTCTATTAAGACAATTTCCTAAAATTTCTTCCATTGTTGCCATTGTTTCTTCCTCATCAATATCTTTTTGCATTAGCTCACATGCTAAAGTAAATTCAATTGTTAGAATTGGTAAAATGTATTTGTTACAGAAATAGCTTTTTTGTGAAGCAAGGCAGTGGGGATTGATGATTTTTTAATAATCCTAACTGTACATCAGATTTAGATAAATGGAAGGGAACAGACTGAAACAGTTAGTGGTTTTTGTGCACCTTCTTTTGCATGGTAAAAAGCTATGCTAAGACTTCGGTTTCAGCAAGTTAGGACCTCCCTCCTCCCCCACCCTCATCCCCAATTTTCCTCCTGGCTGAGATGAAAACCTAGTCTGACATTAGACATAGAGCAATGAAAAAAAAATGCATAAATCCCTGGAGATGTGGAATGTGCTGATATCAGAACTGATATTCACCAAGGCCAGAATTCCTAAAAAAGAAGAAATTGCTTTTAAGTGGTCATTTTCTCACCTGCTTTGAAGCATGCTGGGTTAAATATGAGAGTTCAAAGTAAGGGTAGCCAGCAAACCAAATGAACTGGAATCTGATTCTGCTTATCTGAAAGGAGCTTCTTTATTTAAGAGCAGCACTGCCCTTTCCTTAGAGAACCGGTCTTCATTTGCTCTGGCCCCTTTCATTTCTCTCTTGCAAGAAAAGCTTTCTTCTTAGTAAGCCTTGGGAGGGCGTTATCACAACAGTGAAAAGACTAAAGATGGTGTTTGGGGATTTTACTAACTTACTGATGAATTCAGGCTTGTGGCATGTGTCTTTAGTGCTTTGAATTGAGAAGAGTGTTTTGACTATAAAAATCCCTGGTTCCGTTTTAACTAAATAGGGCAGCCTTTGCAATGTTGGCAGAAAAAGGTATTAGGGTTAAAGACATGAAGAAATCAAAATGATCCTCAAATAAATTGTTTCACTAAGGCAAAACTGTGGAAGTTTGTCTCCCTGAACACATATTGTGGCTGTGTTGGGGTGGGAATGACCCTGTTTCCACATACTTCTACTAATCTTTATGTGGGAAAATGTGGTTGGACATACCAGTGATGAATTTCTGAGCAACTCATAATTGGCTGGGTCCACTGTAACTAGGGCCTAACAATCTGCTTGATTAATTCTTTAAGGACTACATTAGCCAAGTTGCATGATTTCCAAAGATATAGAAGGTCAGATGTTAGACTAACAAAGAACCTCTCTACACAATGTCTCACTGGGATTTCTTCAGCTCCTTCCCAAAAATGATTAACATTTTTCTCCCCAATTTACATTTTTAAAAATAATAAGCAGATATATATGCCAAATGTTTTTCATGGAATAATGAGCAAAACTTTGGGGATGGTATATCCATTGGTCTCATCATTTTTTTCCCAGGGCAAAGATCATTTTCATAACTAGGGTAGTTGATAGACAGTTATAGCTATTTATTGATATAAGCCAGTAGAAGAAATATTTTTAAAGGTTCCTAATTTTCCATTGTCATAACAGGTGACATGAAATCTGTTTCTAGTTGAGATTTGTTTTTTTATATTCTCCATCTAACTTCTTGAATACTGAAAACCTATGAGAGTTGTATGTCTCTTTATTAAATACATAGGCCACATTCAGAAATTATGGTATTAAAATAAATGTCTTGGGAGGGAGAGAGGAGAACAGGAGACTGTGGTGATGGTGCACAGGTTCCTTGGGGAAGGACATTCTTGGGGACTCAACCTGAGGGGGTGAGGGGAAGCAAATATTGCTTATAAATAAATGAATAAATAAATAAAATATCTTCCCTTTGAAAATGGACTGTTTTTCAAAGCTGTGAGATTTAGCTCATAAGAACTGATACAATATTTAGAACATTTTAAATTATAACTAAGTTTATATTCCTATAAAATACTATTCTGTAACTATGCTATTTCCACAGTAATATAGCTGAGATATTTCTCAGAGACTATCCTGATAATAAAGCGAGCCTATTGTATGACAGGTCAAAACTTTCAAATATCTAAATTTTTGTTCCATTGTTAGTGACACTGAAGTCTTTATTTTGTCAATGTGACATATTCTAATTTTAATTTATTAACAAGATATTTATAGTAAAAGGAAGAATGTTTTCTGCTTCCTGCATAGGCATGTATCATCTTTATTTTCACTGTTCTCCTTTAAAGAGAGCCAGATTGAGAAATTTGTGAAATTGTTAATCTTCTTCCCTGTCCGGAATTCTGAGTACAAATTCTTCAAAAGGAAAAAAAAAATAGAACAAAATATTTTTTTATTTTTGTGTGTAATACTAAAGAAACAGCAGGCACCAGTTTGTAATGTTTCAGAGGGAATTTGACTCTTTGAAATAGTTTATGAAATTTTATTTATTTTTTAAAAGATTTATTTATGTATATAAGAACAGGGGTCTAGGCTAGAGGTGGAGGGGTGCGAGGATTCACCAGAGATGGAGTGTGGAGCAGAACAGGCAGATCTACTGAAATACACTGCTGAGGGGAGCAGCAGGTGAGACAGGAGAGGTCTGCTGCGCCATGTGGGTAGCTGCCTGGCCAGGGATTAAACGCATGCAGCAGTGACTGGCAATAGCTTGATAGCCCTGTGACTTAACCCCTGTGCAACCAGGAAGGTCCAGTTTATCAAATTTTAATAGGAAGAATAAATGTGTATTTTATGTTTCCATGTCACTTTTAAAAATCAAAGGACAAGTTTGTGAAGGGTTATGGGGGAATGTTTCAATGAACAGAATAAACTTTTGATACAATAATCATAACTCTTAGTTATGATTTGCTAAAGTGGGAATATGTGTAACAGATGCCATTATAGGGGCCTTCCTGGTGGTGCAATCAGTTAAGCACAGTGCTGTGAAGCTGCCCGCAGCCTCTGCAGCACAAGTTCGATCCCTGGCCAGCCAGGAGCTACCCACATGGTGCAACAGACCTCTCCTGTCTCGCCTGCTGCTCCCCTCAACAGTGTTTTCAGTCCGTCTGCCTGTTCTGCTCCCCACTCTGTCTCTGGTGAATTCTTTCACCCTCCTGCACCTCTGGCCTACATAAATACACCTCTTGTATGCGTAAATAAATAAATAAATCTTTAAAAAAAAAACAAACAGATGCCGTTATAGTAGTTGTACCAATAAGTAGGAAACTTGGGATTGTTCCGTAATGCTCATGAGTCCTCAATAAAAGATGGTGTGTTGATGATATTCTACCTGAATATGAAGAAGTAGAATTATTTTAGTTCTGTAGTAACGTTAAGGATTGCCTTAGTTGCCAGCTTCAAGAAAAGAAATTATTTTGGCTTCAAGTGATGCTAAAAATAAATTAAGAGAACTGATACTCAGAGAGTTCATGCCACATAACCACCCTCTGACCTCATCCTATAATTTCAATGAAATGGAATGAAACGTGTGTTACTATTCAAAGTGTAGGAAAAAGGCTGTGTTTCCATTGAGTACGCTTGCATATCACCAATGTGACATTCAGAGAAAGAAGCAGTTTTGGGGAGAATTTAAGAAGGAAGCATATTCTCACACTCTCTGTTAGGAAAATGCCAGCTCTTGTTTTCATCTTTTCAATATGCAGAATACCAATTTCTTTCTGAAGCCAGAGTTCAAGCTTTTACTCCCAGGTAGCAGCAGCTTTACAATTAAATTTTAATCCCTCAGTGTTGTTAGACTCCTATCTAGAACATATTCTTGGCAGGCAAGTACATTGCTGTTTTTCCTTTAGTCACAGTAAGATAGAAGAATGTTCTCTGGCTGGGGTGTGGATGAAGGCCCTTTTCTGATCTTATACATAATTCATACTTGGTTGCTGGGGTACTCAAGAGTCAAAACTTTGCTCTCTGATAAAATTCAGCTGGATTTTTTTTTTTTTTTTTTTTTTTTAATTTACTTGACTCTGATCCCTTTGGGTCTAGTCCTTACTGGGAGCCCAGGGTTTCTAATTCAACTAAGCCCTAGCTGTGAAGACTTTTCTTATTAATTTGCTTGTGGTGTATTTTAGCTATTGTGATACTGCCTTAAAAAAGAAAACTGCACTAGAACATGCAGTTCAGTCCTGGGTACTCTGAAAAGATTCTTCTCTCAGTCTTGGCTTACTGAATGGGAGGACTCCAGTAGTGTTTATCTTAATTTGTTTTCAAAGTTTAGGTTTTTGAAGAGCCTTGGCATTAAAAAATATGTTAGCCATTGTTCTATAACATGGAATAGTAATGCTAATCATCACTTGATAGCATAGTGTAAGTCTGGTGTTTGGATTCATTGTACTAAATTATTTATACTAACAACTTATGTGCTTGTACATTCATGTGCACTGATATTTACTGGGCACATTTATGAAGTATAAAATACCATCCCATAAGTGACATGGTCTACTATATAGGTGGGGGGGTGGGATAGGCAAGAGATGTATTTAGTAGAAGCCAGGCTACTACCACAATGATAGATTAACTCATCCTTGCATATTTATTCACTTGACTGGAAGTGACTGAATTATTTTCACATGTCTCCCAGAAGATTCAGTGACCCCAAAAGTCAATCTAGATTCATGGAAGGCTCTTCCTTTTATAATTCATTTGGTCCAAAGGTGAGACAGGGAGGACTTTCATCTTTACACCCAAGTGAGAAAGTTTAGGTTTTCGTAAACAATGGCATTTATTGTATTTGTCCGAATAGTTTAGAATTTATCAAAAAATGAAGCCTTCCATAATTCAAAATTTCATTAAAAAATGACTTCCCGGGCCTCCTGGGTGGCGCAGCGGTTGAGCGCTGGGTTGCGAAGCTGCCCGCAGCCTCTGTAGCGCCGGTTCGATCCCTGGCTGCTCCCGGCCACCAGAGGAGGGTCCCACATGGCGCGCAGACCTCTCCTGCCCCCTGCTACTCCCCTCAGCAGTGTACCTCGGTCCTTCTGCCTGCTCTGCTCCCCGCTCTGGCTCTGGTGAATTCTCTCACCCTCCCGCGCTTCTGACTGTACCCAGTGCTTATATAAATAAATAAATAAAATCTTAAAAAAAAATTTTAATAGTTAAAATTTTAGTTTTTTAATTTAAAAATAATGTAAGGATATTGGGAGAAGTCACTAAGATAAGTTTCCTTTGCCCTGTTCCAGGTAGACCTTTGCTGACTAATTCTGTATCCTGGACAGGGTAAATTACCAAGATTATTTTTGAAGTTAACTGAAAAATATTTATCTTTATTGGGCTTAAAATATACCCTCCCCACACATACACACTGGATCATTGGGGATATGACTTGGGAATGCATATTTAAAAATAAACAGAGAAACTGTTCTTGGAAAGTATATAATAATTAGTAAATATGGTAAGATGATGAAAGTGTATGGAGTAGAAGAATAGGTCAGGGTTGTACACTAGAAGGTTGACGAGTAGACTGGTTTAACTCAGTGTGGCAACAGGAGAAAGGAAGTGGATCAGTTTGAATAACTTGATGGCAGAAGACTATGGATCAGGCTTTGGAATTTAATGGTGACTGTTAGTTCTCTAGCAATCCATCCAAGCTTGCTGTATCTGCTAGAATAAGCAGATATTATTTACTCTCTGGGTAGGTTAGAATATACAGCTCCACATTCTGCAGGGGAGGGGGAGGGAATGAGACCAGGGCGAGGGAGGGAAGAACACAGGGGACTGTGGTGATGGTGTACAGGTGAATTGGTGGTAGAAATTCTATGGGGACTACACCTGAGAAAAGAAAGCAAACACTGTAAAAAAAATTAATTTAAAAACAAACAACAAAAGAAATATACATCTCAGATAGTGAGATGCATGAAGGCATCTTCTAACTCAGAAGTCTGATTTGTCACCTGCTGATGAGGAGGCACGTTTATGTTTCTGGGTTGTCGGGAGCCCACTCTGGTCCATTCCCCTGAGTTCCTATTTATTTAATTTTTTTAGATTTATTTTTATTTATTTATGCTTACAAGAACTGGGGTATAGTCCAGAGGCACGGGGGATAAGAGGATTCACCAGAGACAGAGTGGGAAGCAGAACAGGCGGATCTACTGAAATACACTGCTGAGGAGAGTAGTGGGAGAGTCAGAAGAGGTCTGCTGTGCCATATGGGTAGCTCCCTGGCCGGGGATCAAACTCATGCTGCAGTGGCTGGCGATAGCTTGATCGTGCTGAGACTTAACCCATTATACCACCAGGGAGGCCTTTGAATTCCTATTTAAACTAGACTCTGTCTGCTAACATTAGGTGTCCAAAGAAAGACTTAAGTAAACTCCAAGCTCCCCTGAGTTCCCATGAGGCAATCATCTACTCCCATAGAACTTGAACGAAGATAACGAACAGTTAACTTTTATCTTTCAGATGGCATTGAGAGTAACCGTATCTCTTACTTGACCTCAGGTTCCATAGTGAATTTTTTTAAATTGCTTTTGAGCAATAACTTTCCCCTGGTTGCTTAACCAGTTGTACAAGTTGAGACTTCTGTCTCGATGACTATTTGTAATCGCTGTTCTAGGAGAACAGATGAAAAATAATAAGTCAGTTAGATATTTTATGAGTATTGAAATCCCCTCCATTCAGAAATGTAAATAAAATAACCAGCATGAGCAATCAGCTTATGTCAGATTCCATGGGTTTATGTTACATAGGGAAATTATAGTGCAACCTGAAACATGCTTCTTAATGAATTCATAGTGGGTGTCACAGTTGAATGTAAACCCTTGAGCTTTCTATTGTGAAGGGTTTCAGAAACCACCCTTTATAAGCAGCCTAGAGGAGGAAAAAACTAGAAGATGATACCAACAAATGCTAACATTGTTAAGTGGCTGCCTCCCGTCCAGCACCCAATGGGTACCAGTTAAGTAAAACAGAAACTTTAGGATACTGCTCCTTTTTGGCTTTATTTGGTGTTCATACATACACTCCAATATTCTGGGCTTGACAGTGGCACCAGGAGGTGCTGTTGAAGAACACGGTGGTTCTTGTGAGTTTTGTTCTCAGAGGTTAAAGAAGTCTGATTTATAAGTAAGACCAAAGTCAAATAAGTAGCTCTGGTTTTACTTTCAACAAATGCAGGAAGCCAGAGGCCTACTTGGAAGTCATGAAATTAGAATTTGTCTTGACTTTGGCTGCTGCTGTAGCAGTCTAGAGGATACGAGAACTATCCTCTCACTCGTTAGTGAGCTGGTTTTGCAATCCCCGAAGCTGTTCATAGTTCTTGTGTTCACGCTAGCCTCAGATAGGATGACTCTGCTAGCCACAAAGGCTGGGGATGTCCCACAAGATATTGGGGACCAGTCAAGTTTTATGGTCGCGAGTGAGGGAAAGAAACACATTTTCTGTTTGAAATGATTCCTTTTTATATTCTAATTTCTTAAGGGTTTGGCTTGACTTTTGACAAGTTCTCAGCCTGAAAACCTATATTAATGCGTCATAGCTCTGGATAGGATATTTGATCTCTCTTATTTAGTTCACAGTATCAAATGATCAGGAGTTGTAGTTAATGATACTTAGCGTTTTGTTGAACTTTGCAGTGTGGGTGTTAGCATCTGTGAGAAATAGACGCATCCCGCGCTTCCCCGTCGGTGCACTGGTGCTTACTGACAGGTCAAGATGCTGCGTGCTCTGCGGGGAACCCTGAGCCATCTGACAGCGTAGGCACATGCAGTCACCTCAAATTATTTAAGCCCTCATCTCAGCATTCTGATTTCTCGGTATTCCCCAGTGCATATAATGTGTACTTGCATGAAATTCCTTATATATTACTTGCACATTCTTGCTCCTAAGTTTCAGCACATACCTGTTCCTTTTATTTTGAATGCCTTCCTCTGCCTGCCCTCAACTAGGTCACAGCTTATCTTTTAAAAATCCAACTCAAGTCATCTCCCAGAAAGCCTGATCTAATCTCATTCTCCTTATTCCTTTTTTCTGAGACATCTGTTCTTTGTCCATGAAACTGTTTTGTTCCTTTGCAATTGTTGCTTCTGTACATTGTCACGTAATAAGCCTAACACTTCTCAGAAATAGCCCTCCTCCACCCCTTGTTTTCTATCATGTACACACATTTTGAAGGCCCACTGACAGCTTTTTCAATTTCCCCTGAGTTCTAGTTCACCTTCCATACCCTTTCCCCCTTTACTTCATTGTTATAACCCTGGAGAAACAGGGCATGTGTTCAGGGCTTGGCCTCCACCTCAGCATGTGTGTGGCAGCCTGCTGAACAGATCCTTACAACTGGAAAGGATTTAACTCTTCGGTTTGATGATCTCTGCGTTCTACTCAGACACCTTCAAGATGTGAGACCAGGAATAGTCTGGAGATGGGAGTAAGAAAATTTCCACCAAAAGTCGTTAGTTTTTTCCTTCTTTTTTACACAAGACCTATGAAGCTGCTGTCGTCAGCAGCTCACCCGACACTCTCCTGCTCTGCCTCTTTTCCAGAAGTCAGGGTTAGTTTAAGAAAAAGCCTCTTGCTAGAAGCCATGACCTCGTACTTTTATCCCCTCCATCTGGTGTGTGGCCTCATGGGGCTGTGCTGCTATGCAGGAGGTGAGCAATGGAATTCTTTAGATGATGACTTCTGAGCCCACATGCGGAGGCAGTGGGGGTGGGAAGCAGGGAGAACAGTGAGAGTCAAGATCGATGGACCAAAAAGTAAAGTCTGCTGGGGGAGAAATCCTGTCTATAGGTAGACTGTTCCGTGAGGTGTTCTTCCCCTGGCTCAAGTGGAGGCCCAGGTCAGGGAGCTACAACCTTCCAGGTCTGTGATTGATGAACATTGTGTTCCTGCAGTTTTCCCTTCGGTGCCTTCACAGTTGGGGTGCAGGAGCAGGCTAGTAGGGCATGTGAGGGTGTTCATTGTCTCTAACGGAGTGCATTCCAGGGCTGAACAGGGAAGCGTTCCCCTTGCACACATCTCTTGGAGCTGCTTTGTCTCACTGTCTTGGACCTAAACAGAAGTCCAGATTTTGAATTAGGGTGGGAGGGGGGGGGTGAGAGCAGCAAAAGTTTTTGATCCAGTGAAAATCTGTTGTCTGCCTCACTTTGCAGGGGTTTCTCTGCAGGGTAGATTCTCCTGGCCTGGGTGTGGATAAACTGTCTCGGTTAGATGTCCCAGGACCTCTGCTAGGCCATGAGTGGGCACCTGGCCTGGAATAGCAGGGTTTTTTGGCACCTTCATTCCCGGTTCTTAACTGTCGCAGCCCAGGGGTTGACAGCATTAAAAAAAAAAAAAGTCTTAAAGGAAATTCCAATACATACTTTAAAAGCTCAAAGCCTAAATTAATAATTACCTCTTGTGACTTCTCATGACTGCTCTGTCTACACATTTAGCATGATTTTAAAATAACTAAATAGAATTAGAACAAAACTTTTAAGTGTTAATCTGAAGAAGAAAAAAGGAATAGAGAGATTGAGGAGCCAGAGTTAATTAAATGTAGGCTATTTGGTATAAAATTATTTCATGGTAGTAGTGTGGTGGTGGCAGAAATTTCAAAGGGGGACTCATTTATGAAGTTAGGGAGGGATTTAGCTGTTCCTTTTGTAAGTTCTGCTCAAATGCAGTCTCCTAAAATGTTTTGCACCCATTTTTGTTCTGAAGGTGCTGGGACTCTGCAGCCTTAGGCATCCTCAGTCTTTGAGGAGCGCACACGGGATGTGAAGGCAGTAGCCCTGAGTTTGTGTTCTGGGTACTCACAAGCCAGGGGACCCTGAACAAATCACTGAGCCTCTGAACAACCCCTGTGCAGTGAGAGTAATTCCTTCTTCGCAGGGTTGGTGTGACAGTTGTGTCTACAAAAGCATTCTGTACAGAAAGAGCTTCTTATGAACATCACACTTACTTATTCTTGGGGACACCCCACCTTGAGGTTGTCTTTATTTTTTCTTTACTCAGCTTTTCCTGTTTTGGCCTGTTTACAGGGGCTGCTGGTGGTGAAATAGTCATCAGATTTTGGCGCCTTTGGTCAAAGAAAGAACTCCCATGTCCAGCTGCTCCAGCCACAGATTCACAGGCAGAATTAAGTGAGAGCAAAGGCAATTTTTTTAAGCCAGGGTAGTTCAGAATTAGGAGACCAAAAGGACAGTCTTACCTTGCTTTCTCAAATCCAGGATGACTAACACGTCTTAAGTAAATGAAAAGCCACAAAGATGCTCACAGACCATTTCCACCCCTTTGGCCTTTGGGGGCAGAGACAGGCATATCACTGACAGCCCACTGGCTGTGCCTGAAAGCTGCCAGTCACCCAAAGAGAATGACAGGTATGGGGAAGCTCAGTTCAGTGTAGCAACTGTGGCATATTGACCCGAGAGCAGCACTGCTCTCTCTACTTCCAGTGCCTCCCTTCTGGAAATCATCTCTGGAACCCAAAGCTGGAACCCTGCTTTCTAACCTAATAGAATCAAAAACAGCAGGGCATGAGCAGCTGGCTTAGAAACGGTATCTTGAGCGGTCGTAGGAAACTTCTCTGTCATCCACAGCACATGAGCCACGAATTGCTCTATGTCTAGCCAGGAGTTCTTTGGTCTTAGCCACTCTGCTTGGGTCATCACTGTCTACTGTTGAGCCCTTTTCTCTGTACCCTTTCTGCCTGTTTTCCTGCCATCTACCAGGGTGGTACCAGCCCCCTGCCCCCCAAACAACTGCCTGCGTGCTGATAATGTTTCTTTTTAATACTCCTTGGCTTATACCTGAACCCCTGATAGGATTTTTAAAGGATTTGATTGAAGCCTAGTTTTTTTTTTTTTAATTGATGGGAAAAGGGAAGATGAGTAGCACTCTCGTGCATACTGAAGGAGGCTGTGTGTGTGTGTACACAAGTGTACCTCATGTGTGCCTGTATCCTCATGGCTGTGGGCGAGAGCTGACAGGGAGGGCAAAAAGTGAAAGGGAAGCATCTCTTGTTTTCCAACATCCCTTCAAAGATGCCCAACCCCCGAGCAGCAGGCGTTCCTAAGTAGAGGGTGGGGGCAGAGGCCTCCGCCAAGGCCATCAATAACCAGGTGTGAGCTACAGGTCTCTGTGTAATGTGAAGCTCTCCCGTATTTCATTTCTGCACCCAGGGGGCGGCTCTGCAGGATTGCTTACGGAGAGCTCTGTGTCTGGCACCTCTCTCCACAAGGCCCAGGCGCCCAGGGTCCCACCGACCTGCCCAGGAATGCATCACATTGTTCTCTGGTGCTGTAATTTGGCGGCAGGAGCTCGTCTGACAGCCTCCCTGGGATGAGAAACATCCTCTCCCTGGTGTCCTTCCTTGGGCTTCTGCCCTGTGACTACTGAGGGCATTTAAATAAAAGCCTCAGAAAGGCTGGGTGAAAAAAAACCCCTTTGTCTGTCTCCTGTTAAGTCATGTAGAAACCAGTGTCCTGTGTGGGTCTGAGTATTTGGCAAAGGACTTAGTGCTTGGTGTTGCTGCTAAGGCAGGTGATTGAAAGGAGAAGAAATTACTCTTCACAAACAGGGAGGAAGAGAAATGAGGCAGTGAGTGGTCATGAGTCAGACCTTCAAGACTCTCTGCAGACAGACCCTGGATCAGGTAACACTGGACTCTTTTAATTAATCTGAGTCCCTGATTTCATTTTTCCAGCATCACTCCAAGAAAGAGTGTGGATTAGTGCTGTTGCTCCGGCTCGCCACAGTACAGGCGGGCTCTTCTGCAGGGCTGGCTGGGCTGGCATGCTTGCTTTTAAGTCAGAAACTGGCTACCGGCGGTGCAGCTGAGAGCCTACAGTCATGTGCCTTCGAAGGTCCTTATGGGATCGCATCTTTTCCGTCAACTCTGTCTAAACAGCACTTTCGGAAATGCATTACATCTAAATGTTAAAAGTTGAAGCAGTGGAAGAGAGGAGGGGGCTAAGAGACCGTGCTGGCTCGACGGACAGCCCTCTGTGGAGTAGGGGTGGGATGGGAGATGAGGGCAGTGAGGGGGCAGCAGCAGAACTACATGGAGCCTCACTGCACCAAATAAAGCTCTCATTTTGCTGCTTGTTCCAAATAAATTAGTTTCTGTTTGTGTAGTGCAGAATACACGCCAGTTGTCTAAAGCCAGTCGGAATGCAGGGGCAAGCTGGGGAATAAGGGGGGAAATTAGTTGCTTGGCTATCATTCCTTCTTGGGGCCACATAGCCTCTGTAGTGAGGCTCGCGTGGAGCTGTTTTCTCTTGCCACTCTCCTCATTTTGCAAACTTTTTGCTCTCTCGACTTCTCTTAAGCACATACAGGAAAATTACAAAACTGGGGTCTTTAAGAGCTAGAATTTGGGGCCCAGGGAAGAGCTCCCTGCAGCTTTGATGCCAGGAGAGGCCTGCTTCCTTGCACAGGGTCAGAACCAGCGAGTAGGGGACAGACAGAGCACAGGTAAATTTAACTCTGGCGGGTTTGCCATGAAAGGCCCACACCCTCGCTCAGGTGGGAGCGTGGAGGCTGTTGTGGAAGCAGAGCATCTCCTCCTCCCAGGTGCCCAGACACAGGCCAGCCCCCTTTTGTGAACTCTCTGTTCTCTTCTTGAGTTCGGGCTGATTCTGACCCCCTTACCTTCCATACCCCACAGCTTTCTGCCTCTTAATCCCAGCTCAAGATGTCAGAAGTTCTTCTCTCCCGCCCCATTCCCCCCTCCCTCATCCCACCATTGGCTCATCAGTTATCCAGTTGACTCCACTCTGCAAGGAAGACATTCCCCTAGCCTGACTCACTCAGCCTGGTTTCTCCACAGGAATCCCCTCACCACAGACCACAAGGGCCCTGAGTAGCTCATGTTTTGTGTTAATGGATGTGAAACTGGAGCAGATCCCCTCACCATAAGAAAAACCACCCTAAACTCTCCCACACAGGTCTCAGCAGGTCACACAAATATTAGTCCTATCAACCAAATAAATCTGCCCCCATGGCCCAGAGCTGTGGCTCCCTCATCCTGCTGCTGCCTGAGCAGAGTGAAGTTGCTCCACAAACATGCAAGGACCCCAAGGGGTACTGGAGAGGAACTTGGGGTGGGGAGGAGGCTGGGCGCTACGTTCAGATTCTGCCTGTAGGGCTGTGATCGACAGTTCGCTGCGGTACTCAGGAGTTCTGAGCTGGTGGTTCTGAGAGGTCGGCATGGGCCAGGACCCCACTAGGGGCTTTGGTAAGGGCATCTGTTGCCTGGAGTTTGGGGCATAATTGAAACTCAGTATATGAGAAAGGTCTGTACCCTCATTTACAGATGAGAAGATAGAGGCTCAGAGAATTGGGACACCTTGCTCAAATATCAAAAACAGTTAAGTGATTAAGAGTTAAGTGATTGTGATCTTAACTCAGGTCTGTCATGACTAGAAACTTCTGTACCACTCTGAGCCTTCAAAATAGCAACAGGGAAGAGATAACTGCTGTCTGTGCCCCATCATGGGGTAGGCGACTCCGTGGCCCACCCTCTAGCTACTAAACCTGTCTCTGGAAACTGCTACTGTCGTGTAGTCAGGCAGGGGGTAGAAGGAACATCCCTCCTACTTAAGCCAAACGTGGAGTGAACGGTCATCACCAGGACTTGAAGAATCACCAGATAAAGATTGTTGAGTAAGTGGGGGAAAGCTGCTTTCTAAGCTGTTACCACTTTGGTCCCAAGTCCGCTCGCCTTCCCCTGTGACCACCGGCTCCCACTGCGCACTTCAAAAGCTTGGCTCCTCCCCTAAAAACCTCGCTTAGTGGACACGGATGCCTCGTGTGGCTCAGGCCTTCTCCTTCCCGCCCTCCACGAGTGGCACGTCTTCTACTGTGTCCCAAACCTGGCTGACCCTGAAAATAATGCATGGAAAGTTTACAAAAGCAAAACCCCAAGGTTTGGACAAACTTCCCAAGTCACTCTTTCCTAGGAGTGTTCCCGGGTAGTCTGATGACCTTCAGGCATGGGAACCGCTGCCTGCCACTCGGTTTGAACAGACAGCACGTGAGCAAAAGAGGCAGCTACAGAGCGATAGCGAGGGCCTGGGCAAGGATGTGTGTTTCCATAGTCACATAATTTTTTTCTCCTATAAACACAGCAGTTTATAAATGTATGAGCATGTGAATTGGAACCTTGTCCACTATGGCAACTCTTGTCTAGCGATCCCAGCCTCTCAGTAATGTGGAATGTTGTGGCCTAAGAGCTCTTTTGGGGTACCAGGGAGTCTGCTCAAACTGACCCAGGGAAGAGATAAGTAGTTTCACCTCTGTCCCCTTAACCCTCAGCCAGGTGAGAACAAAAGGCGTCTCTTTCCAGGAACCCTTCCTCTTGCACACCCAAGTGTCAGGATACCAGTGCAAGGGAAAGGAAAATGAACCTTGACCACGTGCTTTAGTGCAACTCACATCACTCTGGAGACCCCACCTTTTCCACTCTCCTTTCTAACCTCCAAAGGGGGGCATCAGGGAGCCACTCAGTTTCTTACATCCCCTGTCAACTCCTTCCCAGGGCTAAGCAACCAGCCAGGACACCACAGTCCCTCTGGATCACTCTCCAAGTCCTTAAATAGAAGCTGCAGCAGCCCAAGGCGGAGGGTGGAGCAAGGTGTGCATGCAAAGATCTCGTGCTTTGGAGTCAGGAGGTTCGCAGTGGAGGGATGAGGGAGGTGTCCCGATGTTCAGGTCTGGTCCAGCCACTCTGCCTTCTTGGGGGCCTTGCACGTGTGGACATCCACAGTGTTTCTGCACTCCTTGCAGCGCACGGCACAGCACCAGTGGAATTTGCACTCACACTGGGTGACACGGGTGACTCGAGTTGTGTCATACCCTCGGCCACAGCACATGATTTCACAGCCGTCTGTCCCTTTCGATGTCTTGCTGCAGACCCGGCCCGCGGTGCCTAGGGAACCTGGCATGGGGAAGGGAGAGAGTGAGAACCAAGTTATCTCTTACTTCAGCTGCTTTGGGTTCCCTACCCACATCCTCATGAGGAAACCATAAAGAATCCCTCTTCCTGAAAGCACACCCACCAGCCCAGGATCGTCTCCTCGCCCGCCCGCTGACAGACGGTCTCCTCCCACTCTCCGGACTCCCCGGAGCCCACGCCTCCACCTGCAGTGCCCTCCCCGCCAGCGCAGCTCTCCACAGCCCCTTAAGAACTAGCCTGAAATGCCCATCACTCGGAGAGCTGGGCGAGGGCTCTCCATGTTTGAAGTTTTCCACAAAAAAAAGTAACCCAGCCTATAATTTAATCTTTTCCAAGAAGTCTCACCACAGCGCTGATCCTGCGCCCATGTGTTAGTATTTGGGCCCTTGGTTTATATTTTATTAAACTACACAGTGAAGAGGATCGCATGGCCCTTAAAAACACAGGCCCGCCGTCATCGTCTAGGTTTAGATCCCCGTTCTGTCACTTAAAAAAAAAAAATTGATAAATATTTTATTAAAAAATAACAATCAGGGTTGACAAATGTGGGGGAAAAGGCATTCTTACGTATTGTTGCAGAGGAAATTGGAAAATCCTTTTTGAAGGGTAGCATCTTTCAAAAATGTCAAGTGTGTCATCTCCCTATCTCAGTAGCACAGCTGCGTGATTTCCAGCAAGTCAGTTTCTCTCTCTCCAGGCTTTAGTTTTCGCATATGAAAATAGGTGTAATAATAGCACTTCCCTCAGCAGCTTGTTCTATCTGTAACTTCTGTTCAGCTGAAGAGGTGAACGGGTCGGCCTGGCCGGCTGGAGGTTCACTCTCACAGATTTCTTAAAATATTGTCTGCGCCCTTCCAGCGGGGACTCTTGAAGGACAGGAACAGCCTTACCCCCTTACACAGAGAAGGCTCAGGACCTCATTCTGACTGATTTTAGCAAAGAGATCCTCCCAAGAGATAAAAACACCACAGAGTCTGGACGGGCTGGATCTTGCATAGTATCCACTCCAGCCCTTTTCCAGAGATGGGAAAGCGTCTGGCCTGGGGGTGCAAGAAAGGGAACAGGCTAACTGGTCTCTAGTGCATTGTCTCCACATCCACTGGGATATGGGAAGAAAATGCTAGAAGTTCTGTTTGTTCTTTATCTCATCAATTAAAAATACTTATTTCGTATGTTTTAGAAGGTACATATTAGTTCAGTGGAACATAGATATAAATAACTAGACATATACTAGAGGTACATGCTCAAATATTTTTCATGATAGGAACATATAATCCAAAATATTAGAGTGGACTGGACTATATGTTCTTCTCCTAACTCTTCTATCCTCTTGTGCACCAAAGGCGTCTTCTACATTCCGGAGCCGAGCTGCCCACTGTAATAGCTGCTGGCCACATGTGGTCATTTAGGTTTATATTAGTTAAAATTCAACAGAATTTAAAAGCTGCTCCTCATTTGCACAAGTTTGGTTTCAAGTACTCGAGCATCACATGTGGCTAAGTGGCTGTGGTACGGGAGAGCACAGATGTAAAACATTGCTGTCGTCACAGAAAGTTCAACTGGACAGCGCTGCTTTGGAGGGAATTCCTGGCTCCCTTCGCCCTTCTGGAATTATACCCTTTGAGTTCCACGCCCCACTCGGGGTTTTCTCAAACCTCATTTTATGCCTCTGAAGAAAACCAGCACACATATGACTTATCTTCCCTCCTAACGCCACAGATCCTTTCCCGAAGGTGCATTCTAGGTGTGGCAGCCTAACCTTACACCTCAGCTGTCATGGAACTATTTCCAGGCATTCAGAGAGTAGCCCTAAAGGCAGGAAATCACCGAGAGAATCAGAAGGGCCCTCTCAGCCTTATCCTCCTAGCATCCTTCCAAGTACTCCCTGTTACTCAGGGAAGCCCCACCCTGTTTCTGTGCCCAGTTTTGCTTCGAGCCACTTGACTCTCCTGGAACGACAGTGATGGGCGCAAACAGTGACAGAGACAGCGGAAGCCTTTTGGCTCCACCTCACCCGTGTCCTGACTGCGCAGCCCGGGGGTGCGTGACAGAACAAGGGGGCAAGCAGTTTTGTCCCTTGACATGTTGTTTCTGGTTTTTCCTACTGAGCCTGAAGAATGTATGGGCCCAGAGGGTGACTTCCACTCTTGTGGGGCATGTCCTGTCACCTCCAGCATCCCCAAGGTGTCCACAAGTGTCTGCGACAGACTGAAAAACAAGGGTGTGCTGCTTCCTGCCAGTGGCTAAGCCCTTGGCAGGAATCTCCCCTTTCCTTGCTTCCCCACTCCATTCTGGAGTCGCCAGTGGCCGCGCACCGCACACCACCCCCAAGGCCACACACGGCGCGCTCCTCTTTCTCCCTGTGATCTCTCTTTACCCAACACCTTCACGGAGACGAATCTGCCCGGAACACACCTGTGCCTCCACTCTGCGCCCGCCTCTTCTCTCCAGCTACCCGGGAGCCCCCACACTGCAAGAAACAGCTGAACTTCCACATTGCCAAATAACCGTTCCTGGCTTTTTCCAGTCACCTCTCTTTTCATTGCATTTGTCTGCCTGTTACATTTCCTTTCTCTCGCCAGACCGAGAGCCACACCCTTCGAGCTGCAGCTCACACTCCTGTGTGGCTCACGGCTTGGGAGCCCTGGGAAGAGGAGACTTGGGGAAAGCTCCGAGCCCAGCGCATCCCAGACCTCGGGGAGTGTGGCGGATGAGGCACGGACCACCCATCGCATCACCAGGCTTCCATGTGGGGACGTGATGGGCTCCCCATACACCCCACCTCCCTTGGCTCCTGAGCCGCGTGGACCTGGATGACCCAGGGGCGCCGGCCCTTAGCGCTGCGTGGGGCTCCACGTCCCGGCCTGCTCTCTTGCTCACCTGCCGCCTTGTCCAAGGCGCAGTAGTCCGGGGAGTTGTCGAAGTAGACAAGGTCATCCCGGGTGGCGTGGCGGTTGCCCTGGCGCGCTGCTGTGAAGTTGGCGCCGTCCTGGGTGGCCGTCACCTGCACGGCCCCGTCGTAGCGCCGCCGCAGGTAGTCCCCCGTGCGGCGGAAGTCCGAGAGGGCGCGCCAGCAGGTGCGCAGCGTGCAGGAGCCGCTCACGCCGTGGCACTTACACTCCAGCTTCAGAAACCGCCGCACAGCCTGGGGTGGGGAGGCAGGCAAGGTGGGGGGCAGCCGTCAGGACTGAACGCTTGAGTGCCCTGAGACCTGCGGGCCCGGGCCTGGCCGGCTACTTGAGCCCCTGGCGGGGCTCCACCCAACCCATCAGGTCCCACCCATTTCTCCCGAGCAAATTCAAGAACCTCTTCTTCCAAGAAACCTTCCCGGTGGACAGTGTTTCCCTGTTCTTGGGTCCTGCTTGAATTTTAGAGCCTTAGGAATCTGTTCACCATTCCAGAGCATCTCCTGGTTTGCACATTCTTTGGAGTGAAAGGCACCAAGCCTTCTGCTCTTGTCACCTGCCCGTGGCCAGCACAGCAGTAGGAGCCGGTGACATGACAGAGCAAGCTCACCCCCCTCCCCCTTAGTCTTCCTGGAAGCAGCTGCGCTTTCCTTCTGAAGCAGTGACTTCCCTCCCCTTGGCTAGCTTTCCCACCTTTCTACCTATATAAAGACTCTGCCTACCGGGTGGTACCTAGGCATCCTCAAGCTCCCTTGCATTTACAGCCCCGGGGGGGGGGGGGGGGGGGATTCTGGGAAGTGATCCAGAAACCTTCCGTGCTTCCACCTTCCCAGTGAGCTGCTCATCCAACACCCCCAGCAGATACGAGCGCGCATGCAGAGGCGTGGGTACTGACCCTGCGGCCGCAGCGGTTGTTATGTAAGTTCATGAGGGCCCGGGCATCTTTAAGCCTCTTCTCCTTGGCATCCACGAAGGTCTTGGCAAACGAAATGCCATAGCGGATATTGTCACTGCAGCCACCCCAGTCAAAGTCCCCACGCTGGTCGTGGTGTCGGCCGCGGGAGTAGGGGTCACAGCTGCACGCGCTCAGCTCACCCTGGCTGCAGGCGCGCGTGATGGCGTGCACCACCCCCGCGGACGAGATGGCGTACACGAACGCCGCCTCCCGGCTGCCTGCGGAGAGAGGGTGGCGGAGCTGCAGGAAGGAAGTCCACGTCCATCTCTTCCACCCACACCACCTCTGCGCCGAAACGTCCTCTCTCCTCTTTCCGGGAACCACCCTGCACCCCTTGTTTTCAAGGGCCCTTCCCTTCCAAGAACATCCCCCAGAGCATCTGACCGCTCCCCGCTCAGCCCTCACTGCTCTCTGTCCATTTTGCACAGCTGACCTCTTGGGCCGACCTGTGCTCTTCCTGCCTTCCACACCCCCGGTCCATCCACTGAAAAGTTTCACACGGTGAACAGCTTCTCAGTGAGTCATCCCCTCCCGCGGAGTGTCAACCCTGGCCGGGCTAAGCCTGCCTCGGTCCACATTCCAGGCCTTTTCAGGCCTGCTCTGCTGGACAGTTCCCCCACAATGGAGACCCTAGCCCAGGGGTGGGCCTGATTCGAGAGACAGGCTACTTCCTGCGCCCGCCACACACCCACCTCCCCCTGCTTCCTCCCCCCCTGCTTTTGGGGACGGATGAGTCATCCCTCCATCCCCCTGACACCTCTGGATTCCCAACTCCTTCCCTTTCTCCTAGTTCACTGTCTAGCTCTGCTGAGCTTTTTTGCTGAACTGGGGCCAAGCCACGGACTCCAAATATTTACATATCACCTTTCCGTTCCTCTCGTTCCCATTGCTGCAGAGCTGGACGTGTCATCATGGCGGGAAGAACCCGCGGCCCTTCCTAGTCTTCAGCTTAGAGGGCATGACACCCCCAGACTGGGGTGGAGAGGGCAGGGGATGCTGAACCTTGGTCTTGTCATCCCAGAAAGCTGGGATTTAGGGGGACCCCTGTCTAACACCCAAAGTACCGAGGGTTGGTTCCCCATTATATCCTGGGCTCTGCCCACCACTGTCTCCGATGGAGGGGCTGGAGGGGGTCGTCCCTACTCTACCCACCACCCCGAAAGCACAGAGAGGGAAGCAGCTGGGCAGGATGGAAGAGGCCCCTACTTCTGAGCATGACGCGGCCGAAGACGGTGTGGTCGCGGTCCAGCGTGGTGCAGTTCCAGCGGTGGTGGCGGAACTGGTGCTGACACTCCCGGATCCACTCCCGGGCCCCTTCGCCCACCGAGCGCATGATGTCCGGGTAGCGCTGGCACAGCTGCCGCTGCCGACTCACCAGCCCAGGGATGTTGTCACAGATCACGCGGGCCCCGAGGGCGCCGATGTACCTGGAAGGCAACGATGGGCCTGTTAGAGCCTCCTGGGCCTCCCTCTGCCTCCGGGGGGGAAGGAGGAGCAGGAGGTTTGCACTCAGCCCCGGCACCCACTCTCCCTGCGGCTGGCAGGCGGGAGGCGCCCCCACGGGGCCGGAGCGGCAGTGCCAGGCAGCCACCCTCGCAGGGCGGACTCGGGCCGGCCCCAGGGCCCAGCTCCCCGCCGAGGCCGGAGGGACGCGCTCTCCCAGGACGCGGCCAGCGTGTGTCCCTCGCACGGAAGCTGCGGGCACGAGCCCATCGCCTGTTTATTTACTAGACATTAAGATCCTCACGGGAAAATAAACTGAGCCAAGGGGCAGACAACACCCTCGGGCCGGGCTGCTCCGCGGCTGGGGAAGAGGATGGAGACAGGGAGCGTGGCGGGGAGAAGCGGCCGCTTGGAGTAACGTTCACGGCCCTCGTCCTCCTGTGGAGCTCAACCCCCTCAGCCCCAGTCCCGGGGTCCGGGGGGGCAGGCCCCAGCCCCAACCCTCCACCCCATCCAGACCCTTTATTTTGAGGCCCCAAGGCCTTTCTACATCAGGAGTCTGGCAAACCCGTCCTCCCCCGCCTCACGCCATGGCCTGCCCAAGGGCTGCAGCAATGGGGTGACACGCCCCGGCCCCCCGCCCCGGCCTTCCCAGCGTGCAGTCCAGAGCAGCTGGGGGGGGCTGCTCCCAGCGGCCGCGGGACTCCTCAGATCTCTCAAGGCAACATTTTCCCTTCGCTCGGGTCCCCGCAGCCCTGACTCCACCACAAGCCTCAGGGGAGCATTTCCGGGAGAAGACAGGAGGGTGTCCTCACCTCTCCCCCCCCAGGGCCACCCCATGAGATCGGACCCATCCCCCCGCTTCTCTCTCGCCTTCGCTCTCCCCAGCACCCAGCATCTTCCTTGGGTGGGGGGCACTGTCTGCGCTCCTGTGGCAGCCCACCCGAGGGCTGCTGCTCCCCCCTCCCCGCCCCAGGTGAGGCCCCGGAGGGCCGCTGCTGCTCCGGACGGAAAAGACTGGCCTGGCCTGCGGACGAGGCTGTGGTTTGGGAAAGGCCCCAGAGCGGGGCTTGACGGGGGGCAGAAGGGCAGGCGGGGGGACTCTGGACCGCGCCGGGCTCCCCGCCCCTGCCCCCCTGTTCCCACACCGAGCCCTCACCCACAGCCCGGCTCGTCACCGGTGACACCAACTCAAACAAACACCAGGAGGGCTGATGCCGGCCTCTTCTGGGGCCGGCGGGCTGATGGGGCCCATCTGTGCCGGGGAGGGCCGGGCCGCCCCTGGCAAATCCCACGGAATCAGCGTCCCCTGCGCTGTCCATCAGCGCAACAGCTTCCAGGAACAAACAAAATAAACAGCCCGGGCTGGGCCAGGCCGGAAAGGGCTGCCTGACGCACAGTCCCGAGTTACACCCACCGCCGGGTGCTTTGTTTGGAGACTCGAGACCATCCTTGGAGCGCGGCCCTGTCTCACCGCGCTCGCTCCGGCCCGCCCAGCCCCGCGCGCGGCGATGGTGTTGCTGTGGGGTTGGTTTTGTGTGTGTTTTTTTTTTAATATACTGGGCTTGGGAGCGGGGGGGTTGGATGGGAACGGGAGACCAGAATCCGGCCCTCATGAGACAGTCTGGAGGGGGGCAGGCCAAACTGGCAAAAAGTCCTTCCTGTGGTCTGACTTCAGTCTACTCTGCTGCAGCCCACACTGGTCCTTCTGGTGACATCCTGGCTGAGCGTGGGAACATCTGCTCGGCATGGGAGATGGGAATGATTAAGTTTCCCTACGGCCACCCTTACCCCACTGAGGACCGGCTTCAGGTTTCTCAGGAGCAGGGCGCTGGCCGGTGGTCAGTCTCGTGTAGTTAGCGCGGGGGCTCCAACAAGACAGCCTGAGACCCCGGCCTTCCCCTCCTGACACACATGCCCACAGAATACCTACCATGGGCCAAGCACAGAGCTCAGCCGGGAGGGGCACAAAGATGTTTAAGGCGTCCTCCAGTCTCCCCCATCCCAGTCTGGTAGAGGGGCCAGATGCTGTGTTTTCCTTTCTAGAAGTTTCCACTTTCTTCCCAGCTTCCGGCCCCTAAATGCTCTGTCCACCTGCTTTTGATCAGTTCACATCCCTTCCTCTGACCAAGTGACTCAGCCTAAGCTAGTCCCCGGCTGCTCCAAGTGCAGTCCCCAGGGCAGCAGGGGCAGCGTGGCCTGGGGATTTGTTACAAATGCCCACACTCAGGTCCCACCCCAGACCTAGTGAATCAGAATCTGCTTTTTGTCAACATCCCCAGGTGACCCGGATGTGCTACTCCACCACCGTGGGGGTTTTTGTCCCGTTCACTTGAACAACCACAGTACCTAGAACAGTACCTGGCACGTAGTAGGTACTTCACAAATGTTTGCTGAATGAACACCTAACCTCTCTGGCTTACCCCCAGCTCCCTTCTCCCCCTGGCCGGCCATAAACTTCACTTGGTTACAGCTTTACTCCTTGTCGACATTGCCGGCCGACTCGCCATGCTCTGTGTGTCTGTTAAGTGAGGCCGGGATCCTCTTTTTACCCGCCCCCCTTCCTTTAACAGTTTCCAGTGTGCACGGTTCAGCTGAACCCCTGTAGGGGTTTGAACACAGGCATAAAACTCTCAGCCTTCCTGCGTGTCCTCATAGAGCGGCGATCATACGTGACTCTGCATGTCACAAAACATTTGTGCACACAAAAATTCAAAAGGGGGGGCAAATGGGGGCGCTGTTTTACAGGTGAAGAAACTGGGGTTCAGGGAGATGAAGGGAGCTTACCCGGGAGCAGACCAGTCTTGACTCCAGAGCTGGAAGGTCTTGAACAGGTTTCCCACTACTCCCCTTCACATGGGCAGAGCAGCATCTACCTCCCCGGCCCGGGCTGCTGAGAGCTGGGGGGACGTCTGGGGCTTGGTGAGGCCTCGCTGGTCGCAGCCCCACGGGGACAGTAACGCTGACACTAAGCCCCGCTCTGCTGTCCCCCTCGGGAGGCTCTGAACATTTCTGCTCTTGCGAGTCCCTCCATCCAACTCCCTGCCGAATGCAAACTGGAAGGGGGGAGTCCATGCCAGGAGCCCCCTATTTCTTGTTCTGGTTGTCAGAGATGAAGAGGAAGCCAGCCTTTCCTCTTCCGCTTAAAGCTGGGGAGAGTATGGGGGGGCGGTGATTACTAGCTGGTGCCAGGAATGACCTTCTGCTCCGGGCAGAACACGGACACGCACCAGTCACCGGGCATCTCCCGGGGCTGCACAGAATACCCGTGTCACCGGCTCTGTTCCTCAGGGAGAGATGATCACCGGTGCTTGACCTGCCGTTAGAGAGCGGCTTTCCACTTTCACCCCAAAGGATGACCCCTGAGCTAGGCATCTGGGGCCTGCAGCCACGACAGGTGGGAGGTCAGGAGCCAGATCATCTCTGCCCTCACACCCCGTCTGGCCCCGTGGCTGCCTTCTCCATTTCTCCACTTCACCCTCGCCCACCTGCCGGCCTGCCTCCCTCACGCCTCTTCCACCCCAGCTCTTCCCAAATCTTTAATAGGAACCATGTGGGGCCAGGCTGGGGGGAGCAGTCGAGGCAGAGAGGAACAGGGAGAGGGGCGACCCGAGCACAGCGGTAGGAACCAGAAGAGCCCCAGCTGGGTCTTGAACTACTACCAGGAAGCTGAAGTGATGAACGGCGGAGCGATTCGCCCTCCCCTGCAGCCAGGCGCTGCCCAGGACCGCCTGCCCGGCGGGGAAGGAGCAGTCCAGGGGCCCGAAAAGCTAAATGCCCCCCGGAGTGGACAGAGATGCCAGTGGTGCCTTCACGCTCCCCGTGCAGGGCCACTGCAGACAGGCCGGCCAGGCTGGGCCCCGAACTCGCAGGGTGGCTTTGATCTCACTCTGAACTCTGAGAGACTTTTCTCCTTGTCCCCCCGCTTCGCTTTCCCTTTCCCAAGGAATGTTTCCAGCCAGATGGAAGATATGGGCCTCCCGGCTCCCCCATCCAGAACCCCCCCTTGCCTGCCCCAGCGCTGCGGAGATAAAAAAGATCCAAAAGAGAGATTTTTCTGAAACAGGAAAACGGGGAGGGGGGCGGAGGGGGTGTCGGGGATGGGGCGAGAGACGCATCTTGAAATGATAGGAATCTGCAGCGGGAGCGCCGGCCCCTCGGCCAGCTTCCCCCTCACCCTGCCAGACCCCGCACCCTGCCATAGCCCTCACTCTGCCAGACCCTGCACCCTGCCGTACCCCTCACCCTGCCACACCCCTCACCCTGCCAGACCCTGCACCCTGCCATACCCCTCACCCTGCCAGACCCCTCACCCTGCCAGACCCTGCACCCTGCTGTACCCCTCACCCTGCCGTACCCCTCACCCTGCCAGACCCTGCACCCTGCTGTGCCCCTCACCCTGCCACACCCCTCACCCTGCCGTACCCCTCACCCTGCCATACCCCTCACCCTGCCATACCCCGCACCCTGCCATAGCCCTCACCCTGCCAGACACTGCACCCTGCTGTACCCCTCACCCTGCCGTACCCCTCACCCTGCCAGACCCCTCACCCTGCCATACCCCTCACCCTGCCATAGCCCTCACCCTGCCAGACACTGCACCCTGCTGTACCCCTCACCCTGCCGTACCCCTCACCCTGCCACACCCCTCACCCTGCCGTACCCCTCACCCTGCCATACCCCTCACCCTGCCATACCCCTCACCCTGCCAGACCCTGCACCCTGCTGTACCCCTCACCCTGCTGTACCCCTCACCCTGCCAGACCCTGCACCCTGCTGTACCCCTCACCCTGCCATACCCCTCACCCTTCCAGCCTGGATTCCTCGGCCTAGGAGAGATGCCACAGGGTGCCAGGGGAGAGGGAACACAACTGGGGAGGGGCTTCGCAGAGGCACAGGGCAAGGAAAGGCAGAAGGGGGGAGCACTGCCTGGGTAGAGAGGAGCAAGCGCCCAGTCCAGCCGGGCAAACTGACCAGGGGAGGCGGCCAGGAGGAAAACCCAGAAGCCCTGGTCTTCTCAGTCCAAGGCGCCCCTCAGCCCTGTCCTGGCCCTCCCCACCCCCAGCCCACCCTGGGGGAGGAGGGAGAGCTGCTCCTTCCCTCGGGAGAAAAAGGTGAGTGGCACCCAGGGCCGGGGCGCAGCGGAGGGGGGCCTGGCCCAGAGCTGACACCCGCGGATCAGTGTCTGGCTTCACCTGCCCCGCGGGACGGCCAGTGTCAGGCCTGCGGGGAATCCCAGGAGAGGGCCTCTCAGTTCTCTGGGGTTCCAGAAGCCCCAGCTCTTGGAAGGGAGAGACAGGGGCTGGGGTCGTCTGGGGAAGAGCCAACTAGAAGTCAGAGGGAAGACACAGGGCTTGGAAGTAAGTTTCAAAGCTGAGGCTGAGGACAAGCGCCCGCATCGCGCCGCCCCAAGTGTGTTGTTCGCTTCGGTGGTGAGAGTTAACGGGGTCCTTTTGTTTTTCCCTCAATTCCACGTCTAAGACTTGCTGGGGGTCGCGGCTGCCTCACCCAAGCCTGTTCCCGGGCGGGGTCGACGAGCGAGAGGCTCCCGCGCCCCAGCCCGCGGCCCCGTCTCCACCCGGGGGTGTGCGGGGCGGGCGGGGATCTCGGGTGTCAGGGGCGCCCCGGACGGGCCACCGGTGGCCCCGGGCAGGCGACTGGCTCCTTGAACTTCCCCTGCAGGACACCCGGAAAGTGGACTTTCGCCTTCCTGGGTGTGAGCGCGGCGCGGGCACCGCACCAGCGGCCTGCGGAGCCGGGACCCCCGGGCGCGCCGGCTCCAGCCCCAGCGCCCACCTCGCCGGCGCCCGCCGCGCCCAGCGCCCGCCGCCCGCGGCCCGGCTCCGGCCGAGGAGGGACGAGCCCGGCCGCTCGCGGTCCCCGCGCCCCCCGCGCCCCCCGCGCGCCCCGCGCCCGGCCGCACTCACCACCAGGACGTGTCCACGCGGGCGGGCAGCGCCAGCAGCAGCAGCAGCGGCAGCAGGCGGGCGAGGCGCGGGCCGGCCGGGGCCCGGGAGCCGTCGGGGGCCGCGGGTCGGGGCGCGCGCGCGCGGAGCGGGGCTCGGGCGCGCCGGGGGGGCGGCTGCGCGGCTCTCCCCGCGGCGCGCGGCCTCCGCATAGCGCCCCAGGGCCCCCGCCGCCGGCCCGGAGCGCGCGTGGACGGGGCAGCGCCGCGGGGCTCAGGCGGCTCCCGCCTCGCCCCCCCGGGGGGCCATGGGGCTCGCCGCGGCCGGGAGCCGGGGGGCACCTGGAGCCCGGAGCGGGGCGCGGGGTCGGGGCGCCGGGGCCGGGGCCGGGGCGGGTGTCAGGGGTCGGCGCGCGGCGCGGGCGGGAGTGCGGGCGGCCCCGGCGGCCTCCGCCTCTCATTGGACGGCGCGGGGCGGGGCCGGGGCCGGGGACACGCGCGCCCCAGGGCGGCTCCGCCCGCGCCGGCCGCGGGCGCTCGGGGGGCGCGAGGTGTGGCGGCCGCCTCCGCCCCCCGCGCCGCGCCGCGCCCCCACCTGCTCCGCCGGGCGGCGTTGGGGCGCTGGGGCGCCCCGCTGCGCCCCGGGCGCCCGGTCCCTGCCGACGCCGCGCCCCCGGGTCCTAGCGCCCCTCATTCGGCCGCCCCGACTTCTGCGGGCGCTGGCCTGGCGCGCGGGGCCCGGGGGGCCGCCCTGGCGCTCCCCCCCGCCCCTGACCTCCGGGGACCCGGCGCTGAGGAACAGGGGGTGCACGCGTTCTCGGGGTGCGCCGTGCGCTCTCGCGCTCCCGGGGGAAGGGCAGACTGTGCCCCACCAGGCGCTGCTGGAGATGATCCCGGGTCAGCCCGGGCTCCCGGTCCGCTCCTCCAGCCGGGGCGCCCCGGGCAGGCGCCCCAGACCCGGGGGTCTTTCATCTAGGGCTCGGGGGCTCCCCATTCCTCCCACCCCCCGCAGCGCGGTCCCCCAACGACGCTTAGACTTGGCTCCCGCTCGCCTGCCCGGCCCGGGCCGTCCCCCTCCTGGGGGCGCGGGTCGGGCCTGAGCCGAGGGGTGACACCTGCGGCCTTCGCGCCGGCCGGCGGGGCTCGGACACGCCGCTTCCCGGGGGCCCCGGTCCCCGCGCCGCGGGCGGGGTTGCGAGTTTGAAAGAATCAGAAACAGCTGGGCAGCTTTCCCGAACCAGAGGCCGGGGTGGGGGTCCTGCTGAGAGAGTGGGAGCCCCAGAGTCATTTCTCGCCTCCCCCCTTCCCCCTGCCTCCTCCTACTGCCCCCCCCCCTTGCTCTCTCCCCCTGGCCCCCCACCCTCAGCCCCCCCAAAATCACGCCGGCCCGGCCCGGAGGTGTGGTAGAGCAGGAAGGAGTTGGGGCGCGCCGACTGCTAGGACTCCCCTCCTCCCCCACTCCAACCCCTTGCCCCCCTAATCCCCAGACTGGCAGGTAGATTGTGGGGGGCTGATTGTCCTTACTCGGACCTCAAAATCCCCTTTAAACCCTGGATCTTCACCTTCTAGAGTGAGTTCTGGTGGGGTCTGGCCCAACCCCTTCTCCCAGCCTCAGTTTCCCCGGCCCACCCTCTGTTCCAGGTGTCCTTCATGCCTCTTCCCAGTGATTTCTCTAAACTCTCAGGTCCTGGTGTAAACAATGCACGGAAACTGCACACCCCCTAACCCCAAGCTCACTGTCAGTCCTCAGAGGTGGGGTGTTGGAGATGACAGGGTGTGAGCGGACAGGGCACAGCTGGCCGCAGACTCAGAGGGACCTTTAGCCCCTCTCGCACCTCCCCCTGCTGTCCTGCTGCCGTGGCAGGAGAGGGGCCTGCATGGAGTCAACCAAATGTTTTATTCCCCTCCACACGCCGGGTGGGGCTAGGCACGAAGCTCGCACCATGAGCAAGAGCGTTTCTGCCCTCATGGGGTCACCCTTCTATTGCGAGGAGAGAGACAACAAGCAGGACACATCACAAGGAGCATGTAGCGTGTAGAAAGGGATCGAGCAAGCGGGGTGAGGGGGGAGCAGCGGCGGGAAGGGCTGGGTCGTGGCTGTCGCCGGGATGCTCTGCGCAGGTGACAGCCGAGCGAAGGTGCAGGAGCTAGTGGCCGAGGCAGGCCATCGCCAGCGAAGAGCAGCTGAGCCGGGAGGAGCAGCGGCACAGACACCCCAAGGGGTGTGGGCCGAGTGCAGAGGCTGGCAGGGGCGCCGGCCACAGCAGAGTGAGCTGGGGAGAAGGGGGCGCAGAGAGGGAACAGGTGGTGGGAGTCAGGCTGCAGGTGGAACGTGAGGTGGAACTGGGCTGGGGGTGGGAGCTGCTGAATGTGGAGCCCGGACAGGGCGGGCGTGTTGGACACGGGCCTCCCCGTCGAACAGCTCATCTTCTCCCTGCCGCGCCGCCCCCCCCCACTTCTCCCAGTCTGGAGGCTCTAGGCGGCCCTTCTATTGTCTTAAAAAGCAGCAGACTCTGCTGGGCTTCCCTGAGAGGGGCAGGTGAGCAAGGACAGGGCCCCTGCCTTGGACCTTTCTCCTGCCCCCGGCCCAGCCGCACCCTGAGGCCTGGCGGCCGTCCGCCAGCTCCACCTCCTCTCCCAGACTCCCCTGTGTGCTGAGGCCTGGGTGTGCCTCTGGCCTCGCGTTGCTTTCTGCATATGGGCCTGAGGTTGTTGTAGGGTGGGGAGCTGGAGATGATCCCATCCACCCTAACCTTGGGTGGATGCGCCCACATGGGCCGCAGACTCACTGATGAGGCCCCATCTTTGGCTTCAGCCGTCTTTGCAGTCAAGTGGGACTGTGTCTTGGCACCACGTAGAGGCGCAACTATTAAAGCATGATGCTGAGGGCCGGGCCCCCCCAGAATCACCAGCAACTCCAAGCATGAGGAAGCGGGTGAGGGGTCAAGACTGCTCCCGGGGGATTACAGGTTTCCTCTGGCCCCCTACCTTCTCCCCACCGCTTAGGGGCTACCTCTCTCCAAGCCAAGAGGAGACTCTGCGCCTTCCTTGTCTTCTTTCCCTCCCCTGTGAGCCCCAGTTCCCCAGGAGGAACCCCAGGCGGCAGGAGCCAGCTGACGCTAAGAGCTGCACTCAACCACTTAAGGAGAGAACAAATACAGAGCCAGAGAAGAGGTTTTCTGGGATCTGCCACTTTGGCGCTTCAAATCTCAAAATAAACTTCCAGTCTCAAGGTCCTCGATGCTGTTGGAGAGCTCAGCTCCTCACGCAAAGGCCTGTTGTGGGGCTTCCAGGCAGAGGGTCAAGGCCAGAGGCTCGCCTGACCTGCTCCTCCCGCTCACCACCACCCCCACTCTGGGTTACGGGGGCCAGGGAGCACTCACAGACTGGGGACTTGGCTTCTGGCCTGGAGAGCCCCATGTGGAGTCAGGTCAGCATTTATGGGGCACCTGCTGCATGCTCAGGACTGGTCAGGGCATCGTAAATGACATGGGGCGTGGTCTTACCCCCAAGGGGGTTTCATGCAAATAGGGTAAAGCCCTGGAGGGCGGCACACGGGGCTCCCAGCAGCACACTGCAGATGGTGTCAGCAGAGACGCCCCTCTTCCAAGGCCCCCCGGTGTTCCCAGGGGCTCCTCCAGCTGGGCCGCTTCTCCCCAGCCAGCAGAGCCAGCTGTCCCTGCCTCCTCAAGAGGGCACCACAGCCTCCCGCCCTCTCAAAAGTAGGTGCTCCGGGGACAAGGGTCCTCTCACGCTTGACCTCTCACCCCCTGCCCTGCTCCCCGACAGGGCTACCTGGAGTCAGGACGCATCTTTCACCCTATTGCTAGGCATGTGGGGCTAAAGGACACTGAACTTTACTGGCCCCGGGGCAAGCGTGGAGATGCGTTCAGGGGAGCTCCGCGGGGGTGAAGAGCTCTTCTTCCACCGCAGCTGCCCCCCTACGAGCCACACCCCCTTCCCAGGGCCCCTGGGCGATGACCTTCCCTCTTCCTCTGTGGGTGGGAGGTGGTGTGGATGGTAACAAGCAGAGAGAAAGGCCAAGCAAGGGTTGGGGGGAGGTTTGGATGGGAGTCAAGGAATTCCTGAGCCTGCTGCTTGCACAAGGGGCCCCGAGACGCCTTTTCTGAGATTTTGCAAACAGAGGCAAGTCTCATTTGATGTGGGGCCAGGTCCACACAGGCCCCGGCGCCCCCGCCCCACCTCTGCCTCTCCCGCCCCGCCTGCCCCACGCAGGTGTCTAGGGAAGGGAAAGGCGCTTGGGAAGAACCCAGAGGCTTCACGGGGGCGGGGGGTGTGTGTGTGTGAGGTGGGGGCCCGTGCTTTGCACGCAGCCTGATTGGCCTCTCCCTGGTATTTATGAGCTCCCAGAGGGGCGTGGAGCGCGTCTCCCAGAGGCCAGGCCGAGAGGGCTGTGGAGTGAAGGCGCATCCAGCCCCGACCGGGGAGGGAGGTTTGGAGGGACAGGGCTAGAGCCAGGACCCTCTGTCTCCCACGCAGGAGGTCAGACTGCCCCCCCAGGGGCCCCGGGGAAAGGAAAAGAGGAAGCTCAGGGAGAAGGGGCAGGAGGAGGGGGTGCTGTGGAGGCGGCCCCGGGGGCGGGACGCGGGGGTCTGGAGCCTTTTAGCACTTGGCCTGTAATCTGGCTGGAGCCAGGCGTGGGCGGGCCGCCGGCCATCCTGGGCGGGTGGCCCAGGTTCTGTGTGAGGCCAGTGGGTATGCGCTGGGATCCTGGGTGGTCACTGGCCAGCTTCTCCCCAAGGGAGGGTGGTTCCTGCTCTGCCCCACGGCCCCCTCTTCCTATCTGTCTGCACGGAATAGCATGGAGCCCTCTCTTCCCACCACCTGTTGTGGGCCCCAGAATGATCTGGAAGTGAGACTGATCGCCCATGGACAAAAACTTGCAGAGTCCACTGTCCGCCTCCATCCACGGTACCACCTCCCTCCGGCCACTGCCCCTGCTGCCCCACGCCTCCTCTCTGTGTCCACCTCTGGCGCATACTTGTGTCCGATGTCTCTTCTGTGTCTCTCTCTCTTTTTTTAAGATTTATTTATTTATGCATTCAAGAACAGGGGTACAGGCCAGAGGTGCGGGGGTGAGAGGGTTCACCAGAGACAGAGTGGGGAACAGAACAGGCAGACTGACTGAAATACACTGCTGAGGGAGCAGCGGGTGAGTCAGGCGAGGTCTGCTGCGCCACGTGGGTAGCTCCCTGGCTGGGGATCGAACTCGTGCCGCAGAGGCTGCGGACAGCTTCATAGGTTGCGTCTTAACCCCTTGCGCCACCAGGGAGGCCCCTTCTCTGTCTCTTTATGTCTATGTCTGCCTGCCTTTCTGTCTGTCTCCCTA